ATTAGTGGTGGTTATAAATAACCTAATAATAATCCTTTTATCTTTAAAACAACCTATTTTTATTCAGATCTAGATCTCTTTAACCACCTTTCAAATTAGATAAATTTCCATGATGTATTTAATTTTTATTAAAATTCATTATTATGTAACTCACAAAAGACATTTCGAGTGATTCGATCCGTGTTGCAATATCGAAATAGTCCTATGTGTTTCAAAAAGAAGCCATGTAGCTGCTTAATGATAATATTTGGTAAAGCCAAAAGTGATTGTGAGTTGTCTTATTTTTATAGTAATGAATGTTGGTTACGAGTTTCAACTTTTTTAGTTTACTTCAAATTCGTTTTTTTTGACGGACTCAAATTAATTATTTTATTATAACCTAATATCATGATATTACACGGAAGAGTTTATTTATATTGCACATTGCTTATTGCGCTAGACCTGATTGTGAGAAGTCCGTGTCGAGGTAACACATTGCATAGTATGCTTAGTCTATTGCACTTTGCGTATGTACGCGGCACTGTTCGGAATGGTACGCGCGCATTATATACAGTAATTTATTATTATAACATATAAAATACATTATTTTTATAAATAATATGTATAGTGTAAATAAAAACAGTCAGCGGTTTTTGTTAGGAATAAACTTGAGCTGAAGGGTCAAGTTATTAGCCTGGTTTTAGAAGCTGTATTGATTTTATGATGTCGGAATGTCCTTGTTGTTCAGCCGTACCAACCAACTACGTGTACAGCTGTTACTGTCTACGGCGGCTAACGTATACAATGCGTAATGACGGATACAAACAATATCGCTTTGGCTGCCGTTACTACGTCTGTCGGTGCAGGGTGAACAAGAAGTTGGGTGGAGTAAAAAAACGTGAATACAATATTTATCTGACAGGATAAGAATGCGCTTAAGTAAATGGTAAAGAGCATAGTGCATAAGCTCAATAATGCAAATGAAAACGATAGTGTAAAAGCCTCTCAGTTATAAGTGCATTACACAAAAAAATACACAAACTAAAAAAAAAAGCAAAAGTAAAATTTCTGAGAACGGTCATTTGAAGTGTTTTCTTAGAGCAAACATTTTGAATTCGTTTTGCGACACCACCGCGCTCCATATCGTTAAATTTAAAAGAGACTTTTGCAGATATTTACTCGAAACGTTTAACTTAATAGAGTTTCGTTTATGCAAACTTACAGGTTCGTTTAGGTGTGTAAAATTAACTGTGTGCTTCATTTTCCTCCTTTCCGATTACAATAGCATTTCAAAACCTATAGTTTACGATAGACATGGTTTATGACATAAGCTATTTTTTAAAACATAATCTTACTATAACTACCATCTTTTGAATTTTCAGAAAAATTCGATCGGTATTTAAAAGACAGCCGCTATATGTTTAGTAAAACACGAAAACTTGCATACAAAAAAAAAAGTAGTATGCAAAGATATTACATTTTTTCAACAAGAATTTGTGCATAAATTATGTTATAAGTTCTTATTTAATTAATAGGTGTAACGTTGTTTTAAAAATAATCCTTCAATACACATGTATATAAATTTACATTCCAATAATGGTGTTTTAATTTAATACGTTTCAATAAAATAAACTAAAATATCAACTTTACTTGTTATGAAAAGTTCAAATGTAAAATGTTTTTTAAGATATTTATATTCTGTGTCCTTTATACACTTAATCGTTTTACGAATTTAAGAATAATTAGTTATTATCCCTATGTTTCAATTTTACAAAAGCAAAATATTAAAATATCGTTTTATTAAATGTTTTACATATTTTTCAACTTTGGTGTAGTGATGGAAAAAAAAAGAATCTAGTTATTTTCTCCGCTCTACATAAAAACATTAAATCATGGATATGTTATCTCTTATTACTTATTTTTTATCATTTGTATCTTATCATTTCTCTCTTATCACTTTTATATTATTTCACATCATTTATCACTTATCTCTATTCTTTTACCACTTATCTTTTATAATTAATCACATCACTTATCTCTTATCTCGTATCACGTAAATTTGTAATGCGAAAATGGTGACATGAAATTTCTTGTTTCCAGCTCAAACACATATCCGTGTTTTAATTTGTGTGTCTTACAAAACACGTGTTATTTATATTTTGTGTATATACTTTGTTCTAGGATCTATTTAACACACAATTTTGTAGTATCTATTAAAATAGAAAATAATAATTAGTTGATAATTAATTCAATATAAAGTGATAAACAATTTACAAACTATGCACAAATCATAAAATGTTGCTTATATAATATTATGTAAATCAGATATAGATTAGCATCGACGCTTAAAAAATTACCACTATGAAAAAATGTATCTTTTTGAATCTTGATCCAAATCGTAATTTTTAAAATAATATTGGTACTGAATGTTTTCTGTAGATAAGTGTATTCGTTTTTTTGTCAAATATGCAACATATACAGTAGACATTTTTTGTTTTATTCGGTGGGACATATAATTTGTAATTAATTATAAATAATATTCATGAATTATTTTTGGTTGGAAAATAAAATAATTATTTCTGCAATTTATTACAATAAACTAAGTGACGTGTCACAAACATGCTATTTAATTTTATTTGCAAGACAGCGTTATTTATTCGTTCAGTTCAAAGTTATTTACATGAACATAAATAAACGTAATAAACGTAGAAACTATAAATAATGATATTAATTTATTTATTTCGAGAACATTACAACTATAACGATTTAATTTGATTTGATCCTAAAGTATTATTTTGGTGAACAAAATAATTGAGTTTATAACTTTATATTCGTTATGTTACACAGCCCTGGTTATTATTTCTCGGGATCTAGCCAAAAAACTGTTGGTTAAATACCAAAATGTATTACACAACACATTGCGTATTCCAACTCTTAATATGCCTATTGCGAGACGCGTATAAAAATAACTTGGAAAAAATATACAGTAGTTTATTATGCACCAATAAAAAGGAATTTCGCACGGCGCTCGGCGTATGCAGTTTAACGGCGTCGGTGTGTCCATCGACAGTTTTTTGCCTATCGGCAATAACGCGTTTAATGCTTTATTTGTTTTACCACCAGCAGTCTTATGTTCATGGCACTGCCGAGTATTTCGCATTAAACGTTATAGTTACGGTCTCTGTTCTCCAACATAAACCGACAAAATATGCAATTGGTCGAGCCGGAAAAATGGCCTTGCGGGGTTTTTCTAAATGAAATTAATAAGATAACTGAACGCACGTATACCATTCAAGAGTATTATACATTAGCATGCACAATGTGTTCTGTGTTTGGCGTGGCCACCGGAAATGCCAGTATAGTGTGGCGTTTGGGAATCGGTAATAAACATATAAAAATATACAACTGGCATAGACGATTCTGTCAGACTACCTTTCAACATTGCATTATTGTCTCCGACACCGCGACAATGACCGAAAGCGTCTTTGACACATACAAACGCACATACCTTAAGCGGAGCTCTAGGACATCAATTACAAACCCGATGACAAACAGCACGCGGCCGTTGTCTCTTATTCTCCCCGCTAGGTGTATTTACCTTTCAACGGTGCTGGCGTCTATTACGGATAGGTATTATTATTATTAAGAGAATTCCGCAGTTAAAACTGAGTAGACCTGTCCTATACCCTCCGGTGCCGCAGGAAGTGTGAAATATGTCTAAAAAAACATTGAGACGTTTGAAGCGATGAACGTGAGGCCGACAGGTTCGTGCAGGACGCGGTAAGGGGTGGTAGTGGACTGGTAGGTAGTGGAGAGTGTACGGACATGGTAACGCGGTAAGGGGCCGGTGCGCGATGCGGAATGGCAACCGCGCCTGGCGCCTGGACGCCCGACGGATCTATAGGATCGCCGCCGTCGCCTTTACTCCGACCCCGGCGCAGAAGGGGCCGCGCACGCGCGTCCCAGAATAGAACTTTACGGGACAAGCCCGCGTCGCCGCTGCCGGGGCCACCGGCCCGAAACGTCGTTCGAGAGGAGTTCAGCTGCTGCCGCCGTGAGCCGCGGGACCCGCGTTATTGTACCGCTCTAACGCACTGGACAGATTTTTCTGTCTTTATTTTAAAACCACCAGACGGTTTTTCTTTTCTTTCTCCCCCTGTTTTTGGTCTCCCTCCGTTGTCCATTCACTCTCTGTCTGCCTTTTCACCCCGATCCTTCTGTTCCCACGCCGACATCCAACCGGTCTGGTTTTCCGAGTTCGTCTTAAGTGCCTAAAAAACTCGTGAATAAGGCGTGTGGTTCACCACAGCCGTGTGTACATTTATAACATCAAAATTCGTCCGTCGACGACGACAACGATCATACGCGTTTCGAGTGCTCGCTGCATACATAAGGATTACATCCGTGTTATTGGATACCCTGCCAAGTGAGTTATACGTACACAGACGTTGCGAACTCAATAGTTTTATAATAACACGTAGTTATATTATGTAATAGGTTTGTGAATTGTGTGTAATCGCTGTGTGTCTTTTTTTACTTAGGTCATGCACGTTTTTACGTAAGACATTTACAGTCTAGAATCATCCGCGACGTGACTGTATTTACTACTATTATTATTATTATTATTATCATCATCATCATCATCACAATTATATTTATTATCATTATTATTATTATTACTATTATTAATATTATTATTTTAATTTTATTTTTCAATCTAGTATCCTTGAAGTTATATTGTTAAAAGTTGACGTGTTATGCGTGCGTGTGAGTGTTTGTAAAAACGGTGTGCTGTTATCGAACGGTGGGCGCGCTGGTGCCGGAACGGGTGGTAAAATAGGTCGCGACGGTGGGCGAGTGCGTAGAGGACGTGGCATTAGCAGAGTGGCAGGGCGGGGTGACGGGACTTTGGGCGGACGAGAAAACCGAGGGGATACGAGATAGAGGCGAGGCGAGCACGTATGGGGTAAACGTGCCGTGTAGGTCCGCACTGCGGCTGAGCCGGCGGTACTCCGATTAATTTAAAATATAGTTATACATAATGATCGTTTTTTGACGGTCGGCTTTAGTTTTCCGTTTCTGGAAAAAGATAAAAACCGCGAGTTGTCCGCTTCCGAACACACCCCGTTCCGTTATCGTACACGTTTTCAGTGCTCTATCAGACGGGTGAGCCGCACCACTGAGCGAGGTCAGGTCATTCGGTCACCAGCTACGACCACCGAATCCATATCGTAAACGTGATTTGACATAATTCGATTTAGTTTCTTCTTTAAAAACCACTTTCGTTCGCGATAATACAGTTGGAAATAATTACACCGACGTTTTCCAGGACTTCACCTAATACATTAGTCAACAATACTGAGTTCTTAAGAACAGATATCAATAACTTGTCCGTCGTTCGATTATTCTATTAATATTTGTTATGCGAAACTCTATTCTCTACTTTCATTACAACTAACTGGGAAAACAATTAAGGCGTAAGTTTTTGTTTTTTAACACACATTGTTTTCAATATAGAACTCGATTTCGGTGTTTAGTTATACATTCGTTTTGTTAACGTTCATAAAACTGACGAAAAGTTTATATTAAACTTTACTTTACTAAGCAATGAACTGCCCTATTGCGGGTTATCGCTTAACTCAACAAACCAAAAACCAATATGAAATACATAATAAAACTCAGAACTTTGGTTATGATAGTTTAAAATAATTGAATTAGTAAGCACATAGTGTAATATAATACAATTGTAAGCGAATCTAAAAAAAAAAAATATTTATAGATTTTATAAAACCAAATTTTTTTTTGGTAAATATCTTTAACTATTCCGTTATATCATTTACGCAGCTCTATAAATTAATTATATGGGCTTCCCTAACTTATTTTACATAATGATATCGGTTCAGCGACTTAGGAGATTAGTAGAACCAAGCAAAACACAAAAACCCATTATTATTAAAACAATACCTTCTCAGCTTAAAGCATTACAAATCTTAATAAAAATTACAGAATTCAAATGTTATTTGCTAAAAAAAACAATTATTTAAATATATTTTAAAAAAACTTTTTTCATTTATTTTATTAGAAATAAAAAAGTCAAAATGTAATAACAAAATTAAGTCACATTAATAAGGATATCGATTAACATACAATAAAATAAATAATTAACAGTTATGTGCCTACATACATTTTATTTTATTTAACATTATAAAAAAAGATTTAATACTTTTATTCGAAATATGTTTTGCGTATTTAAACATCTATTATACACAACTGTAGTAATATATACGGAAAAAATAAATTTCAAAATTTGATTTACGGCTTGTGAAATGTTCTAAAATAAAATCCATTTGATTAATACTACACTGTTATTTTTCATTTGTAATTTATTTAAGAATATTGTAAACATAAAAATGTGTAAATTTAAGACATAAGATATGAACTTTTGTCTTCTCCACAAGCTCAGGCTTTCAGAGAAACTTTATTCTTTTATTAATCATATATTGTAAATTTATGTATATTCTGTTTTGAAATAATAATAATAAATCATCATCATCATCAATTGAAGTGAAAATTCCATATGAGATATTTTATACTAAAATCCATCCACACATATTTAAAATAAATATTAGACTAGTTCAAAATTTTATTTTGCGCCTCCACAACAAAAATGCGTACACCTCGGTCAAAAATGTGTCTGATAAAAGAAAATTATTTTTCGTTTAAGAACACACAAAATAGAAATTTACTGGCGTTTAAGAGCTTATGAAAAGACCTTTAAAATTGGTTATAACTATAATTAAGTTTTTACTGGTAATTTAGCCGATAAAATTTTTAGAATATTGAAGACAATTTTATTTTTAAATATTAGTCAACTTAACTATAGCTGTAATCAATATTTCAAAAGCTTTTAAATAGCAGTAGTTAAAACCGCGTGTTTTAAAAATGTACAAAGTTATGAATGAATATGTATGTTATAAATATGTAATTAAAAAAAACATTGTACATCTTGTGTGTTTTTTAATGGAAAATATTTTCCTTTTACCAGACACTTTTTTGACCGAGATGTGTCTATTTTTCATTTTAAAGGTGAAAAGAAATGTTTAAACACATCTAATATAAATACCTAAGGGTGGTCCTTAAATTTGACAAGGCGTCGAATGACCGTCATTCGGCTCCAAATATTGAAAAAGTATTTCTCTAATTTTTTCAGATTTTTATTTGATTCCCTTGGTTCCCCTGTTTGCACATCAAATGTATGCACTTGATGTGGGCTGCCAGGCGCCATTAACCTCCAGGTGATAGTACCGCACTTAAGTATGATTTCGAGTGACAGTAATAAAATCTGAAAAAAATAGAGAAATATTTGTTTAAAATTTGGAGCAAAATGACTGCCATTTATATATATATAATTTATATGTATATGTGTATACTATTATATATATCAATACATATATATATAATAATAATAATAATATTATTATTATTATTATTATTATTATATGTATATGTGTATACTAGTTGTTTTATTTTTGTTGATTATAACATGAAAGATTAACTACTAGACAATGATAAAAAAATTTACTTCTTTATTTCATATTTCATATTTTGTTTTTTTTTTTAAACAGAAAAACATGATGCGAGACAAGACATCTTGAATCGCGCAGATCTGGGATAGCAACAGCACATACACATACACACTTCGGATATCGGAGTAAAACTTTTTTCTCTGTCTGTGATATTATTTAATTAACTTAAAAAATGAATCTTTTAGTCGTTATCGATTTCCTCGACCACATGATAGAGATAGAATCACCTATTTGTAATCAAATGAAACGATCGTTATAAGTAGTTTTTAAGTTGTTGATATAAATTCGTTATTCCAGTTAGTTAGTTTATTTATCTATTTTGTAAACAAATAATAATAACAATGAATTCCTACAAATATTTTTGAAACTATTAACAATTTTTAATTGTATTTTACGCTGAAAAGTCCCTTATACTCTGTCCAATATGGGTTCCAAAGAGGAAAGTAGTAACGCCAAAGCGGCCAAAATGAGTGATCTCAAAAAAGAAATCGATTTGAACGATCACCGGATACCGTTGCCTGAAGTGTATGCGCGTTACGAGACGGATCCTGAGAGAGGTTTAACGACTTCTCAGGCTAAAAGGTTACTGCTTAGGGACGGACCTAACGCACTGACCCCACCTAAAAGGACACCTGCGTGGATCATCCTATTGAAACACCTGTTTGAAGGATTTTCGATCCTGTTATGGACGGGTGCAGCTTTATGTTTTCTGGCATACGGTATCCAGTATTCCACTTCTGAAGAGCCCCAAGAAGATAATTTATGGCTGGGAACAGTTTTAGTGCTGGTTTGTGTAATTACAGGTGTTTTTGCATACAGCCAAGAAGCAAAGAGCTCTAGAATTATGGACTCATTTAAGAATATGGTACCTCAATACGCCAATGTTGTACGGGATGGAGAAAGAAAAAACATACTTAGTTCAGAACTAGTCAGAGGTGATATTGTGGAAGTTAAGTTTGGTGATCGTGTTCCGGCCGATGTCCGTATTATCGAAAGTCATAACTTCAAAGTGGATAACTCTTCTTTGACCGGAGAAACAGAACCACAACCGAGAGACTCGGTCGTATCAAAACTGGAAGTGTTAGAAGCCAGTAATTTAGCTTTTTTCTCCACTAATGCAGTCGAAGGCACTGCAAAAGCCGTTGTTATACTTTGTGGTGACAATACTGTAATGGGTCGTATTGCTGGACTGACTACGAGACTGGAACAAAGAGATACACCGATCGCAAACGAAATTCATCATTTTATGCATTTAATATCTGCTTGGGCTATTTTTCTTGGAGTTTCATTTTTCATAATGGCTTTCCTTCTCGGTTACCATTGGCTCGATGCATTTATATTCTTGATTGGGATAATTGTCGCCAACGTACCCGAGGGTCTTCTAGCTACCGTAACGGTATGTCTATCTTTAACGGCCAAGCGAATGGCATCGAAAAATTGTGTTGTAAAACATCTTGAAGCCGTTGAAACTCTTGGTTCTACATCTACAATATGTTCTGACAAAACAGGAACACTGACTCAAAACCGTATGACAGTTACACATTTAAGTTACAATAAAGAAATAATTGAAGTGGACTACTTCAAAGATCCAACAGGTGTGACCGAAGAAGCAAGGAATACTAAAGCTTACCAGTCATTAGTTAGAGCAGGATGTCTTTGCAGCCGAGCTGAATTTATATGTGGTCAGGATAATACACCGGTGCTCAAAAGAGAGGTTATGGGAGATGCTTCCGAAGCAGCCATAATAAAATTCTCTGAACTTGCCGTAGGAGATGTCATGGCGTTCCGGGAACAACACAAAAAAGTGGCAGAAATACCATTCAATTCTTCTGATAAATTCCAAGTGTCAATACATGCTTTGCCGTCCAAAGGCCAGTTGTTAGTTATGAAAGGAGCTCCAGAAAGGATATTAGCTCGCTGCACTCGAATGCGTTATGGTGACGGGGTTGTTGAATTGGATGAAAATATCAGACAAGAGATGGACGAAATAATCGAACAGCTTGGGAGTTACGGAGAAAGAGTACTCGGATTTTGCGATCTTTTTTTAAGTACAGAACAATTTCCCATTGGTTTCAATTTCACTACAGATCCTCCAAACTTCCCGTTGGATGACTTACGATTTTTGGGATTAATGTCTATGATAGATCCTCCGAGACCAGGAGTACCAGACGCTGTTGCTAAATGTCGTTCAGCTGGCATTCGTGTCATTATGGTAACTGGTGATCATCCAGTAACAGCCAAAGCTATTGCTAAGGCCGTTGGTATTATCACGGAAGGCTCTGAAACTCTAGAAGATATTGCTAAGCGACGTCGCGTTCCGGTATCTTCGTTAGACCCGAGAGAATCTACAACAATTGTCATTCAAGGCTCAGTGTTGCGAGATATGACATCAGAAGAGCTGGAACACGTTCTAAGAACGAATAGGGAAATCGTTTTCGCTCGTACTTCTCCAACGCAAAAATTGCATATTGTTGAAGGCTGTCAAAATCTTGGAGCTATTGTAGCTGTCACTGGAGATGGTGTAAACGATTCACCCGCTTTAAAAAAAGCAGATATCGGTATAGCAATGGGTATTACTGGTTCTGACGTATCAAAGCAAACAGCTGATATGATATTATTAGATGACAACTTCGCATCAATCGTTACCGGAGTAGAAGAAGGGCGACTCATTTTCGACAATTTGAAAAAGTCAATAGCATATACATTGGCCTCTAATGTCCCCGAGATAACGCCTTTCTTATTATTTATTGTAAGTGGTATACCATTACCCTTAGGAGTAGTTGCTGTTTTATGTATTGACTTAGGAACTGACATGTGGCCCGCTATATCATTAGCGTACGAGAGAGCTGAATCTGATATCATGTTGAGACACCCCAGAAACCCAGTTAATGATAAGTTGGTAAATGGAAAGCTTATATTTGTCGCCTATGGTCAAATTGGTGTCATTGAAGCAGTTGCAGGATTTTTCTCATACTTCGTCATAATGGCTCAGTGCGGTTGGCTACCGTATAGATTATTAGGAATTCGTAATGAATGGGATTCGAAGTCTGTCAATGATTTAGAGGATTCATATGGACAAGAATGGACATTCGTACACAGAAAAGAGTTGGAATATACTTGCCACACTGCCTTCTTTATAGCTATTGTAGTAGTCCAATGGGCTGACTTAATCATTTGCAAAACTCGATACAACTCGATTTGTCACCAAGGAATGGACAATTGGGTGCTGAATTTCGGTATCGTGTTCGAAACGTTAGCTGCTTGTTTCGTCTCTTACTGCCCGGGCATGACCGAAGTGCTCAAGACCTACCCAGTGAAAGCCGAATGGTGGCTTCCTGCTTTACCTTTTGCCGTTGTCATATTTATTTATGACGAATGCAGGCGTTTTTGGCTCAGGACTCATCCCGGCGGATGGATCGAACGACACACATACTATTAAAATATGTTAAATATAACAATAAATAAAAAATAATAATCACTATTGCGTCAATGTCCCTGTAAAAAACGAAAATCAATTAATATATAAACGTTTATCTTTGCGAAAACCTCATTGATTAAACAATTTAAATGTATAGCTGTTATTGTTATTGATAGTTTTATTAGTTATTTATAAAAGCGAATTTTTTGAAAATTTAGAATTAAATTAAAAAAAAAAAAAAAACGCTAAATTAAAGTGTCACATGAACGTCATAAGAAATCGATTTGTATAATTAATTATTTAATAAAATGAGTGTTCATTTACCATAGGCCTAGTCTATTAAATATTATGTAAGTAAAAAAATCGTTAAACAATGCATAGTGTTGAATTAGTTATTCATAATATGTTTTGTTAAATATTGTAATAATACATAGTATAAGGCTGATCAAAAGTCATAAGTCATAACTAAAAACCACATCTTAATTAAGAACTTTTGATCTTCCGCGCCTCTACATCTGTAAAATGGGCTGGTTTACGTGCAATTATGCTTTGAGGCTGAGCCATTATGTATGTTTACATTAAACACATTGCCTGTAGAAAATACAATGTATAGTATTTTGTTTTGAAGTAAAAAAAATTAAAACATTAAAAAAATATATAATAGTTATTGCATTTTTAGTTTTGTTATGAGTTTTAAAAATATTATCAATAAAGTTATGTGTTATGCGTATAAATAAATTACTAGGGCAAGGATTGGAATACAAATTACAAAACCAAAATCTCATTTCTCAGTAGACTACTATTTTGTCAACCCAAACAATCTTTTGATGTTGATATTTTATTTACTTCAATAGTTTAATAGCCTACTATTGTAATACATATTATATGTAAACGATTTGTTTTTGTTTTATATGTATTTTTTTGTAATATGTGCCTTATTTATTTTGTTTTTGTTTCCCGGCTAAATCATATTCTTGTATAAAGGTACTTTATTTTAACTATTTACAACTATATGATTATGATAAACATTACTCGTTTTATCTTATTATAGAAAAAAAAAAATGCTTTTCCTAGTTGATTTCACAAGGGCAACATATTTTATCTTTAAGAATAAACAAAATCGTATACTTGTCATTTAAACTACTTAGCTTAAACCACTAAAAAACTAAGTTTTTTATGTAAAACAAAATAATAATAATAGTAATAAATAAATAAATATGTTTAAGGCAGATTTTTTAGTTCAGTCGCAGGACGAAAATGATATAAAATAGGTGGTTTAAAATTGTAATATTATAATAAGCTTTTAATATCCGTTACGTATATTATTTGAATCTAACCATGCATAGCATTTGTTTAAACCAATTAAATCATTGTGAAACTTCGGGTATTTAGTTACTATGTAATGTTATAATTATTGTTCGGATTAAATGCTGTACGCAAGAGCAAAACACGCAAAGTCATAATATTTTCAGAGATTTTATGGTAATGTATGTTCCGAATAAAAGTCCTGTATACAAAGACATTTTATTCAGACTTTTATTTTACGAGGTAACCTACTGTCTTGCCAACTCCTGGGCCTCAGGATTATAATATTATACTGTACATTGTTATTATTATATTTTTACTCCTGCCGCCCAATTTCCAAGTGAAATTCCAATCTACTCTACTGTCTGGTGTTGTTGCGTCGTACTTTTAACGCAACAGTATAATGTTATACAAGTATGACAGGTAAAAGGAAATAAAAAATAAGGTTAGAAGATAAGTGATTCAGGCAGTGTACTGTATACCACAATAAAATTATTGTGGTCAGCTAAATAAAGAACGTTGTCGGCGACGATACTGCTTAAGAAATGGCGTCCTGTTGTTATGAATAATATTTGTTATAGCATCTCCGATGGCTTATAAAATCACGTTTGTATCGCCCAAAGCCGTTATTAATGACCGAGGTGGTTCTAAACGGGAGAACCGAGAAGTGGTTTTCTCGGAACGAAGGTGAATACATAACGCCAGTTTTTTTTTATGTTTGTACCTTCATCGTTCTCAATCATTCGCGATTGAAAGGTTCACAAACTGCACGTACAACACACCATGGACGTAAGACTCGTGGCCATTATTTTGTGTAATAGTAAGTAAATCATTTCGATCAATCATTAAGTAACAACGACTTGTTCAGTTAGTTTGTCTGTAATCAACGCATATAATAATAATACATACTACATACTAGATGTAAAGGTTCGACGATACTAAATATGTATATCTGTTAATATAATTTCTACGTTAGCGCGCGCACGCACACAAACTAGTACTAGTTACGTTATAATTATTTGATTTAGTATTTGTGTGTAATTTTTTAACATTTTCTTATAAAAAAAAACTATGTTATCAAATACTTTATGTTAATATGTATTCATTAAGTGTTCTACATTTGTACTTTATTGTGTAAGCTGAACAGCAAACTATGGCCGCTTTGCTCTATATGGATTCTACATTATACAACCTGGAGTTTCTACTTTAAAAATAGTTATAGATCAATATATAAAAGTGTGAATTATTAAAGTTTTATGAATTTTTTAATTATTTACAATTGTATCCATTAAAATGATGGATGCTTAAAAGTGATTTCAGAGTTCACGGTGATTACACTTTAGACAATAAACTCTACAATTAGTCAAAAACGATAGCGAATAACTGAACATTTGGATGTTTGTAAATATTATATAAATAATGTATGGGGTAGTGAAGTAATTAGATAATTTAGTTCTTTGTAAAATATAATAAATAATATAGGTAACTAATAACATTACATATTTATAAGACAAAAACAAAAAATGCATAATTATTATAACAATTTTTTGTTTTATAAAATGTATATTTTTTTGTCATTTTTAATTGAAAATAGATTAAATATCTTAAATTTATGATGTTTCTATGTTTTTTACAAACAAAACTTTAGTTCTTTTTCAATTTGTACGTTACTTACTATGAAATATTTGTTGTATGTATAAAATAAACATTTTAGTTATAATCATGTTATATATATATATATAGTAGTTTATGTTCAAGTAAAAAATAATTAATTTGAAGAGTAGATTTGAAAGGCATTTTCTAACATTTAATTAGTAACTTAAACAGTTTATTTGTTATTGAAAAGGTAATAGTGTATATAATGATAATAATGGTTGGTCGATAACCAGTTTTGTACACATACCTCTCAAGTTATTAGCATTCAATGGGGTATTAACTGGAGAGAGGTAGAATGTATAATATATTTTGTATTTATTCTCGCCTATAAATATATAGAAATATTTCTTAAAACTAGTTAAAAACCAGTGATTATTTAAATTATTTTTTGTAGTAAATGTTATAGGCTGGATTTCAGTAGTTATTCTCCAAACCTACCCCTTAAGATGATTTTTTTTTATAGAACAACAAAATTCATACTTAATCAATAAAAAAAAAAATTTTATATAACGTATTATTAATGATTGTTTTGAAAAAAATGATAAATATCTTTAAAACTAATGTCGTAGCGTATCGTATAATAATGTAGGTAAATTATTTTACACTAATGATTTCCATGCATAAATTATCTTTTACTTTGACTTAGATACAAAAATACTATAATAAATTAATTTTTTATAACTTTTGAAAACGCGTAATACGACCAAAAACAGATTGGCGACGAATGTCCCTGAATGTCCTGATGTCAGAACTCATTGTCTTATGAAATAACGGCCCGAAGTTCACAGTGTGCTTTTATATTAAGGTAACTATGGGAAACTTATTTCTATAAAAACTCGTAGAATAGGAAAGCCCTTTGACGAACCTATTCTTTTTTAGATCATATATATATAATTTTTTTATAATATGAATACGTTTAACTTAAACAGGCACGTGAATTCGTGACTGGTACCCGATAACTGTTTATAGTTCCCGGCCTTGTACTTTTTAGAAGAGTGAAGGCGCTTGTATACGTGATATAAATCACCTTTTTACTGAAAGAAAATATTAGAGTTGTATTGATTATATAACAATAATAATATTATGTACTCTTCTATAAGGGTTAGCCCGAGTGAAAAGCATAAGCGGTTTATACTATTTATTTTTCTCTTGATCGTTTGTTGAGGGTGTGGTGTTGAAACGTACAGTGCACTGTACAGAGCGAAGTCCATGTATTTTCTCAAATAATAATGAAATCGGCGCATAAATAATATGTCTTAAGGCGGTCAATTAACTTATTTTCACCGTACAGTGTTGCTTTGGACTTCGTCCAAGTAACGCGGCTTTGGAATTTAGGAGAACACTGTGAATTCCTAGCGGCCAGCCGGATGCGGAGGCGATTAAAAATACCTTTTAGACACGAAACCTAATTCAGCTCTGCTGGAGGAAATCGTAAAACGCTTAGTCGGTTACAGCGAATGATCGCGTTTAAAAAAAAAGGTTATACCTACTAATGTCCGACTACCCGAAATTGCTTATTATTTTCTGAATATAGTCGAATAAAAATACTAAAAAGAACACAGCGAATACAAAGAATACGCAGCGACGATGACAATTATATAGGTCGTACGGTATAAAGAGGTTATTTAATGCACAGTTGTAAGAGTATTGCTAGCTGTTGAGTAAGAATGCTTCTTCTGATAGAATTAAAGTACCTGCAAAGTATAAAATACTGTAGTAAAAAGATAAATCATTTATATAACATTGCACACAATTAAATATAGTGTATACACGCCAAGGTTCTCTTAGACACTTTTGTTCTCAATACTTTTAACACATTTGTATTGTACCGCATATGCTTGTCCCGAATTCATCTAGGCATTATTATATCATGTATGGAATTACTTTGTGTGTATGTGCGCGCGCTTAAGAGCGTTTGTTTTCCTCATACAATAAGACTATGCTATAGCGACCAAACAAAACGCTAAAACGTTTGGCGAAATATAATATTGGGTAATATAACATACATAATTACGTTATATAACGAAGGGAACCATTTAATGAACGACTTAGGGTATTTTCTCTCATAATAAGTAATTTTGTAGTAATAAAATGCAAAAGTAATGACATTTTTTAGCCTTTATTGAGCATATAAGCATAGAGAAAAGTGACGTTGTTATTTTGCATTATTATAAAATTAAAAATATACACCTTGTATTGATATTTTATACATCGCTATTAAGTTTTAAAACTGAGATGGTGACGTACAACATTTTATCAACTATAAATTAAGAATAATCTACAGTAAATGTAACATGATGTTAATTACTACATTTTATTTATAAGTTTTAAAGAGATTTATTGAGGAGTTATTAAAGTTTAAAAGTTAAGACAGGAGGTGAGTGGTATTTTAATGCTATAAAACACTAAAAATAATTATTCAAATCTAGTTATCGAACAGTAAATTATTCCTAAATTAAAACGTTAATTAAATATTGTAAAATTAAAACTATTGTATAATCTAAATATTAAATCTACCACTTAATTTTTAGAAGTTAACAATGTCTTATAAAATACCAAAAAAAAAAAATAATAATTTGGAGTTGTATAATAATGTAAAATAATATTAATTTTTGATACACAATACGAAATTTCAATTATTTTTCGAGGTAACGAGTAAATTTAACCTGTATACTCTAACAAGTATGATAATTTTTATATTACAAATTATTTTTACATACATTTTTTAAAGAATGTTGTAATATTTGATAAATCATATATTTTATAAAAAACATATGGGTCCTAGTACATACGCTGAGAAGGTTTTATAAAGTATGTTTCGTTTGAACACTAAGCAAAATTCTCGTCAACACATTAAACCTTAGGGATATATAATATTTGTATATTATTATGTTATGTTTTTCGACCATAGTCGTCCTGCTGAATGGTCAGTCTAACAGAAAACGACCGTCAGGCGGAGGACGAGAACCTACTACGGCCAGGCCACGGACTACCACGGCCGCAGTGGTGGCCATCGAAGAAGATCAGCTGGAAAACGAGTGCCCCGAACCCGACGGTTTCTTTGCAGACGCTTATCAATGTGACAAGTACTACGCCTGTTCGGACGGCAAAATCACGGAAAAGCTGTGCCCGGACGGCATGGTGTTCAACGATTTTAGTTCTGCACACGAAAAGTGTGATCTACCCATAAACATCGACTGTTCGCAAAGACCAGCTCTGCGTAAGTACCCATGCCCAATAATAGGAAGTTTTTGAACAACCTAAAATTATCTACAGTATCAGTTAGCGGATAACGCTAATGTTATGACGTACGGTAGAATTGGAAAAATAACGTTACCGTTCTTCTCTGGCCGATTCTGTACATAATTTTATGTTATGCAAAAACTGCCATACGTATATTGTCTACGCTATTGTCGCGTGTAAAAAATCATATTCGAGTGATAATTGTCGTTAATTAGAGACGTTATCTCACGTGGGTTGGGATGAAAAATACAACGGCCGTGGGGTATCGGATCGATTGAGTGCGACGTTACTGGCGCTCATCCGTCTTCTGACAGTCATCACTGTACAGCGCACGAGCTTGCCTATTTTGCTAAGAAAAAAGGACGGCCGCCGCCGCTTGTGACGTTGGCCATCATATACTTTTAGGCTTACCTTTTTGAGCCGTTCAACGTGATATATAATTATAAACGCGTCTGTCACTATTTTAATTCGGACCCGAAGGCCGTCTGTTATGGGAACAGACAAGTATTGCGTTTCAGTTTTCACATTCAATTTCCTAGTCGGCGATTGCTTATAATGACGTCTGATGTATAACGGTATTATTCATTTCGCCATTTTGGTAATTATTACATACTATCTATTTTGTATGAAATAATAAATGTTTATACGAAATTATGTAGTCATTTTTAATACAGCAAAATAAAATTAACCCCTATATTATATTACTTCATAATTCACTAACATATGTTTGCGAGCTATATGCATTGATACTGAGTGTTCCTAGTATCTTAGAATAAATACTAAATCCTTGAAAACTTGGCAGATATATTTAGCATTATAAGCTATAGCAGACCAAATTTAAATTTATGATACAGATAACTGTATAAAATAATATTATATAAACCTTCGATATGAGTTAAAGCGCTTTCAAAAAATGTTTTAACTTAAAGTTGAACATAACACGTTCCATAGAATATGTTATCAGAAGATCATTTTTTAGACCTTATTTAATGAAAACAATCTTTATGAGCTTTAACTTAAAATTGCTTTAATTTGGCGAAATTTTAAAATATAACAGAACTTCATGAGTAAATTGATGTACTAGATATTTTTGTTTTCGTGAGTATACCGACAGAGTTTACAGTTTTGAGATTTTTTTCCATGTAAATTCTTTCACTCTGTATCCAATCAAGAAACCTAACAAAAATAAAATTCTTCAGAAAAAAAATATTGGTGTTACCTTATAATTTATAACGCACTGTATGGAGTACACTGTACAACATTTTTTATGTATTTAATACTTAACGTCTGTTGCTTGTTGTGCCAAATGAATAATTGACATTATTACTTCTCACGCCATGCAAAATAAATATATAAATAACGACTTACAATATAATATTTAGGCTTCGTCTCATATAAAGTATTATTTGTTCTAAATTATTAACTGTTCAATATATCAAACTTATTGTTGATTAGTTTATCGTTGATTTTTATTTTTAGAGGAACCAAAACCTGCCGAACACTGTCGCAGGCAAAACGGGTACTTCGCTCACGAACAACAAGGCATTTGCGATAAATTCTACTTTTGCGTGGATGGCAAATTCAATGCGATCACGTGCCCGGCCGGACTAGTGTACAACGAAAAGACTGGCATTTGCACGTGGCCGGATGAGGCCAAGAAAAAGGGTTGTTCATCACAAGGTACAAAAACAGAAACCGTACGGGGTGCCACTACTTTCCCTAAGCGCATTAATGGTCATTTCTGTTTTAATTTAGTTTTACGACGTCGAGAAAATTTCCGGGAACGCGTTTTCTATTATATACTTGAGCTGCTATTATTGTCATTGTTCGTATTACTATCGCCGTTGTTCAACATAATGCCGTGTACCGTGTCCGGTAGTGATTCGGTTGAACGATCGCCTCTTCGCCTGTTATTCGAATATCATCTATGAAATGCAATAATGCGTTTGCGTGCGTCCACAGACGAAAACCACGCATAAAACCTCTAAGCGGCTGCGGTTTATAGCGACTCTATATATGCTAATATTTGCTCGGAAGCCAAAAAAAATAAGCAGGGGCAGGGGCCCGACGTTTTTGGAACGGTATCAAAACGCACGCTAAACTCCCACCGCGTCGGCAATTTATGGATTGCTTATTATTTTTGCCGCTCCGTTTCTATCGTGGTTATTTATATTTACGGTCGACCCAGTAATCACATGCGATTTGTGCCTGGTTCGGCAGCATCCAATCACCAACCCTCCCCGGACCCTCCTATGTTATTGAACAAAAATACCTAAACCCATTTGTTATATTATTCATGAATTAACCACAATGATTGTATTTTTTTATGCAGACGTTTTCAATTTCCGCTGTCCAAACGTGACCATGGACATAGCGCAACAGCATCCGAGGTACGCGGACCCGGAGGACTGTCAATTTTTCTACGTGTGCGTCAACGGCGAAACGCCAAGAAGAAACGGCTGTAAAATGGGGCAGGTGTTCAATGAGGCGTCCGGCAAATGCGATTGGCCGAGAAACGTGCCCGAGTGGTAAGAAAACAGACGAACAAAATTTATAAAAAAAAAACTAAATGGCACGGATGTAGGGTACTATTTATAGAGTACCTACGTGATAATATTATTATATTTATACATGCTGCGTCGGTCGGTATATACGTGAGCTTTATGAAACCTGTGACATTTTAATGTTATTTCTAGATTGTTGATATTTTTCTATTAGATAAAAGATTGGTTTAAAATCTTGTTATTACAATTTGGGTACTTTTATTATGTTTTCTTAACTGTCTGGCAATCATTTCATTAGGTACCTGTGAATTTTATACCTTAATGTCAAAACATCCTACGTATTAGATAACGTCCAGCAGTCATTTTTTGGGTTTTAAATAACGTGGTCACTGTTATTATTGAATTTCGTGATGTCTCTTGTCGGCATATATAATAACGGCAACTCAGCTACATATCCATGGGTCCTCATAGAGTATATTATTTTTAAAGATGACTTGTAAACCAAAACATTACACGGTGCTGATATTTTTAAAAATGACTCAACGATTCATCTGAATAGTGAAAATAAAACACTGATTGTAAAATATTTTAATAGATCGTTGTTAGTTGTATGATGTAACATTTATAAATCAGATTGAAATACCTTGTATCTAAAATGTATAGTTAACTTTTTTTTGTACCTCAAAGATATCTTTAATTAAACTATAAAATTAACTAACGGCCTATAATTTCTTTAATGTCTAAAATATTTTATTTATAAACATATATTAGAGTACGTTTTATTGTAATTGTTTTATGTAATAAGATTTATGAGTGATGTAAAATTAAATGTATGGAAACACATATATTTTTATGTGTTTTGAAAAGGATATGTAACTATTAAAGCACGCCTTCTTAGATGTTATGTTTAAAAAATGTGCTGTTTTACTCGTTTTTCTTGTTTGCCTTTTGAGCACAGAATTATCGGTCGCTCAGGAGTAGTGTTGTAATTATTTTAGTCTAGACAGTAGAGAATTCAGCGTGTATATTTCTTACGGGTACTGGCCATAAACACTCGGGATAGCTTTTGTCTTCAAATTATGGAAAATTCATAAAGTTTTTAATTAAACTAAGATTCTTTGTATTTGAGTTAGACATAAAAAGAAAGTTTATCACCATTCACCAGCCCCCTAATTTTAGATGAGAAATAGTCCTATACATGCTTACTAAAACGACTGTACAATAGACGGTTTTGTCTGTTATAGTATATTTTTTAATTCTTTTCGGTTAATCAACAAAGTAATTTTAAAAGTTCAAATACGTCGTTTATAAACAATCGATACATTGTCTTTGTAAATAAAAAAAACATACACAGAGACGCCCGTTTTGGCACTATAACAAAAGTAGTTTTAATTTTTGGTGCTTTGGCACCGTGAATAACAATAATAATAAACACGTTACGGTAATGTTTAACTGGTGGTTTATTGTTTCTTTCAGCACTGAATGGTACAAAGGAGTATTGACCGACGAACAACTTGAAGCTCTCGAAAACCCAAAGCCAACAGAGCCGGCCAAGGAGACGACTAGGAGAAAATCGAATAGACCCACGACGAAAAGAACGTACACGCGAGCCGACGAATAACTCTCATACTATTATTATTCTCAATTATATTTATAATTATACTATGATTAGTATTTTTAAAAATTATATGAAATATAAGTAGATTAATAATTAATAAATTAAATAATAATTGTATTGTATCAGGAAAACTGATCTCATTCCACGTATGGGTACTACCAAATGATGTACCTATAATTATTACCATAATGTGACATTAAACGTACTTAAATCAATTTTTTGTTGTAATTATACCATAATGTATGTATTGTTTATACTATCTCTATTACTATAACTAATGTCGTATATATTTTTTATTTTTAACTATTCGGTTACATAATTTTAAGTCGACAGGAAAGCAGTTTTTTAGCCAAATACCATTTCAATTGCTGTCATTTAATTTCTGTACTTTAAAATTACTTAAAGTACTAAAAGTTGTGTAGATACAGCGTACGCGAGCACTTGGAGGTTAAATACAGAGCACAATATGCATTGTATACAAACAAATGTAATTATCTATTACACTAGTCGCTCAGCAAAATATTGCACGTTATTTATTAACGGTTAAACGACTATAATTATTTTTTTAAAGTCATTGCTCTTGATTTTTTTTAGACCTGTAGAAGTATAAAGTTTGAAATTACGGTAGAAAGTATGGTAATTGAAATGAAAAAAATCTAGACTATGTAACTTTAAGAGCTTGTTGTAAATAGGGAAAAAAACAAAATGCTACATACACACTAAAATTGGAAAGATAGAATATATATAAGATATATCACTAAGATACTAAGCTATAATACAAAGATAATATACAGGTAGATCAGATTTCAAACCTATGCGGTATAATTATTAGAATTTGAAAAAAGTCACCGTGTTACGATCTTATGTAATGCTTAATTTTCAAATTTCTCTTAATCTATAAGATCTAGAAAGTTGATTCCAAGCTCGTTAGAAAGAGCTTGTCAAGAAGATACAGAATATGGACAAAAATAAATTATTTAAGTTTCTTACATTTTCTTATAAACAATTTTAAGCTATTTTTATTTCTACTTGCAGATCTCCAGAACCGATGAACAGATTTTGTTGTTTAGGGTTCTATTAGAAACACCTTGGCTGTATTAGTGCAGAAAAGAGTTTCAGAGCTTTATTTGATATAGTTCATTCACTACAGAGTTTTAAATTAGTATATCATAAATAAACAAATAAATAGTTGAAACGTATACATAAACATGTTTTTAATTAAATGTATTATGTTAAATCTTTTGCCAAAAGGGTCAACATAGCTGTTATTATTAGGCTTTTTCAACTTAATTGATTTTTTAAAAATGCTACACCCTAAGAATGAGAAGATATATACTTGTCTTAGCTTTTATATAAGATAATATTAATATAGGTAGGTTAGACTTCAATACCACCTAAATCCAAACCAGTTAAATACATCTACATACGTCATAAATTAATATCTACTAAATACAATTTGGTTAAATCTTTCTATAATAAAATGTATATTATTTAAATAATTCTCCAAAAATTAAAAATTAAGAAAATCTACCACCGACCTCAACATGGCAAGCGTTTTTTTTTAGAAAAGAAAAATAGTCTTACAAAAATATTTTTATTAAGAGAGTATATCAATTTATATTAATATACTTAAATGTTTGTAATATTTTTAAAATATAATAGTTGGTTTCTTGTAAACATATGAATTAAAATTTTTGTATAATATTGAATTATAACAACTTTTATAAAACATCTGGGATAGATACTAGTCTCTAGTCTAGTTTTGTAATTTACGCTACATATTAAAATCATAAATTGAAAATGTATGGTGAGATAAGATAGCACCAAATGTTTGAATATACCTATTTATATTTGAATGTTGTACCTATGCTACTCGCCAAACGTTATAGGGTATAACTTTTTTCTATTTTCTTTGTAGTCCGATGACAGGCAACACCTATGAATTACGAATCAGTATAATAAACTTAAAATATATTAATGCAGCTAATATTAGTATTAGTATTATATTATTAGTACAGCTAATATTTTAAATTAAATTTAAATGATGTAATTTTTGTATAACTTTTAAGGACCTTATATTTATTTATGTATCTTTGACACTGAGTTGAAGGTCAAGAATCTTTCTCCTATTGGCATTCTATCACGTAACTTTCCCAATCCGGGTAACTCGCATAGCTATGTGTCTAATTTGACGTTTATTTGTTTTTAATTGGTAAGATGTGGTATTTTACACGCACAATTGAATGTTCTTAGTTCATTTAAATATTTTAGTACGATCGCTAGAAGACAGTTCTAATTGACCACGTCGCAATTTCAATATGAGAAATCGATCGAAAGGACGATTTTTATTATTATTTTTTTTTTTTACTATAGATTTTCACGTGGCACGTAGTTATAGGAATACCTTCTCTATAGAATCCGGCTGCTTGGAGGGAGAATCTATGTAACGGCTTCCTGTTCTTCCGCCGAGACCACAGTCGCCTGCTCATGTTATATCATTGCGCATTAAGTTTTCAATTATGGATCACTCAATACTTTTGGTCACTATCATAATCGGAATTTCGCATTTTACAAGTAAGACTATATTCATTTTTATAAATAATACCGCTAGATGCGATTTATAAAACACCCCATTGTATATAATATACAGAACAATTATGTTGTAGAAAAATATTTTACGTTCTATCAAAGGCTGTGAATAAATATTTTGATGTAGGTATTCAGTGCCATTGTAAATAAAATATAACAATAGTTTCCTAACGGCTGGTTTCCATTTTGTGTCGATCATCAATATGCAATAATAAAAAAATAAATATTTTAACACCCACTGCATTTACTACGTACGGTAACAATACAAAATTATTATTTTTATACCTTCCCGAAGCAAGACAAATTCGACATGGAATTCACTTTCACTCTTCTCGAATGCTTTGGTTGGTCGTCTGCATTAAAAGCATCGGTATAGGGCCAATCGCCAACGGTTCAAACTGCAACATATTATACAACAATGAATAATACTATGTTATATATTTGTAATGTAATATTATGTATCTTGAGTCTAAAGTGTCCAGTTTGAATTTTTAACTGTATTAAATTTGAATATTCATCATAATTTATACTCGTATTGCTACTATATTATATTTTGTCCAAAATAATAATAAATATGTGTCACTTAATATTTAATAAAGTTATGTTCATTTAAATTTTAAAGGTATGTGCTGTTATGTAAAATAAAAAATTAATTATACTTTTTTTTTAAGTTTAGTCCAATGTATAATTGGCCTTTTTAGACCTAAAGGGCCTGAATATAAATTATCGTGTCTATAATGTTTTTATCATTTGGATACAAGGCCAAACAAAATATGAAGAAAAATAGTCATGACTGATTTTTGGTTTTGTAGACGGACAGTTTGATTGTCCGAAAAAAAACGGCCAGTTCGAGGACCCGGTGCAATGTGATAAATTCTATGACTGTAAGGACGGTGTGGCCACAACCAAGTTGTGTCCCGACGGATTGGTATTCGATCCATTAAACAGGAAGATCAACAAATGCGACCAACCATTTAGTGTAGACTGCGGCGATCGTACCGAGCTCCGTAAGTATTATGATCTGTATATTTTAGGTTTACGAGTAAAATAAACCAACTTAACAAAGTACAAACACATAATACGGAAACTGATTTCATTCATTCGTAAATGCCACATAATTGAGTGTAATTATATGTGTTATGAGTATGTATATCATATAGTTTAGTCTAAGGATAGTATTTGTTATGATATCATAATGAGAAGTGTATAAGAAGTAGGCACTGAATAACTCAGAATTTAAAAATAACCATGTTTTTTGCTTAAAACCACACGATGCGAAATGTTTAGAAGCCAAAGGGAACATTCTACATTGTTTCGCACTTTATAACTCTTGTTAATAATTATAAATTTGTTATTCCTAAGAATCTTGTATACTATACTATGTTGACTTTTACATCGACCTTTCTCATTTTTACCCAATAATAATCACAATCTCCTAGGTACATAAGTCTGAAATATTATTATTGTACTATTATAATATTTCCGACTTTCACAGAGAACCCACAGTCTAACAACTTATGTCCCAGACGTAACGGTTACTTCGCCCATCCCGACGAAAAGGTGTGCAACATATTCTATAACTGCATCGAGGGCGAGGGCACGGAAATCGTATGTCCCAACGGCCTACACTTCGACGAGTATGCGGGAACGTGCGCTTGGCCAGACACCGCCGGCAGGTCAGGGTGCGGCGATCCGGAAGAATGTACATATAAATATAATACATAATTTATTTTGATAAATAAATCTAGTCGTCTTATCCAATCTGAAATTACGACACGAATAACGCGTTTATTCATTAATCTGTCCGCAGTGAAACTCAAAGACGGTTTCATGTGCCCCAAAGAGAAAACGCATTCGTCTCGAGGACAAAACGTTGCCCATCCAGTGTTTGCGCACCCCGACGACTGTCAAAAGTTCTACGTGTGTCTTAACGGCATAACACCAAGAGAACAGGGCTGTTCCACCGGAGAAGTGTTCAACGAACAGTCTCAGAAATGTGATCAACCTGAAAACGTACCCGGATGGTAAGCATATCATATAAAGACGGCAGTAGTCTTGTTTTATATAAACATTAAAAAAAGGTTGATATAATAAAATGATACGTTCTAAACATTCTTATTATACAACAGGAAACAACAGATTTTTTTCAAAAAAAAAAACATTTAATATTGTCAACTTGGCTTACCGTCTATGACGTTTTAAACTGTATTATAATCGAAAATATTGTTTGTTTTTTTTTTTTAGTGAGGATTGGTTCAAAGACGATCCACAAGTTCAGAATAAAAACAAAAAAAACCAATAGACTTTAAAATAACTAATTTGTATGTATTTAATGTATAATACAACATAATATTTATACATTAAACTAAGTCATATTATTATTACATTTAACTAAAAAATTATGTTTGTATTTTATTTCTGTTTGATATTTTTTATTGATTCTTTTAACTATAAGTTTTCGTTAAATAAACTATCTTCTCTAAAATTATTTTTAATTATTTTTGCATTTGTTTAATAAGTATTTGTGTAGTTAAGAAATCAAATGATTTGTACTAGACAACATTATGATTTATGATACAATTCTGTTTAAATAGATAAAAAGGTATAATATATTATCATATAATAGTATTTTAATAATTTAATTGTTATTTTTTAGGTAATAAGTAATAACTAATGAGAATATTTCAAAAGTCATGACCAATTTTCAGCATGTATTCTAGAGAACATAATAATATTGTACATGTATAAGTTCATTGCTATTTATTTTAATGTTAATAATATCGATTTTATCGAATAGCATTATTTTTTACGTAAATTATAAAACATATCTAATACATTAAGCAAACCGCCATTTTAGTAACGTACTAGGGTTTAGCGAAAATGATTTTGGAGATATTTTAAAGTATTTCCAAAAGGCTATTCTAATGATAATGTATCAATTATTATTAAAACTTTTTTTAATAAGTTCAAAGTAATTAAAAAATAAATTGTATCAAAAATAATATAATGATGAAAAGGAGGCAATGTAGTTACTTACAGTATTTACTAATATTGAGTTAGTCATATTAGCATGAATTACATTGTTTAGCAAAACTAAACTAATGTCTTAAAAGAATTGTTGTTGTTAGTTTGTTGTGTATTGACTATCGTCTAGCTGCTAACAGTAGGTACAAGCGAATAGTCATTATCGATTCAAACAATACATTGTCAAGTATATATGTACGTTTACGAATATTAATGTAAGGAACATCAATATTACGTTATCAATAAAATTAACTGTTTTTTTTTAATATATGCATCATGTGTATGGAATTATTACTATTATTTGGTATACCTACTTCTGCACACCTAAAACTATGTTACTAAGCTTTATAACTAGATAATCAAGTTAGTATAATGCCTGCAGTCCAGTTTCTAATGCTTTCACCGAATTCGTATGTTACGCAGCAGGTTCGCTGACGTAATTATTGTATTATAACCGATTACTCGATTTTTATATAAAACGAACAAAAGTTTGTATAAACTATTTTTCTACTACTCGATAATATAATTCATATTATATAATGGAAATTATACCTATTTCCATTACACGGAGAGCACATGTATATTCTAAATAGAATGTATATGATTACGTATGTCAACACCGCAATTTGGAATAATTTTGTCTAACGTTTCAAAAACAAAATTCTCGACTACGATATTAACAAATTAAAGGCATTTCGTCATTTTTGTGTTGTTTTGCCATTATATATTCTTTTCTGTTAACAAGGGGCTACTACTTATGACACGAGTGACATTAAAAATTATAAAGGTATCGATCTGAAACAGGTATGTTCTATAATGGTCCTCAAACATTTTAATTGAAGTTTGACTATTTGGACCGACATCGTTAAGCAAAAATGACAAATATTAAATGATTTTTTCTTACGTACATTAAATATTTATTTAAAACGTTATGGTTAAGCTGAACAAATACAGGGTATACAGGGTGTCCGTTACGTTGATAATGCTACAAAAGAATTATGTGTACAATTTTCAACACAGCGTAATAAAACTACGCTGTTTATAATTTATGATAATATCCATAGGCCACAGACCATATTGTACCATGGCGACGAATGGACAAAAATATTTCGGCGGATCGGAAAAGTGCCATCCGCGAATATTAATAATATATGTTGTACACAATAAAGCATGTAGAGCACGTAACGCACGCTAAATAATATGATTATTAAGCAATGTATTTTTTTGGTTTCGTCACGTCGGCCCATTGTGAATCCTTGATTATATTAATAATATTTACGGGCTATTGAAAAATCACAAATGTGAAGTGGAGGAGTTCAAAAACCTTTTTGACAGCGCGCACAGAGGTCGCCTCAAGTCGTTTGCGGGGGCTCCGACTAGTTTTTTCCCAGACGACGACGGGTATCCACATGAAGTCTTGTCCATTCGTAGCCCGTTCGCCTTTTACCAACAATGCTTCTGTACGTCCAGATCACCGCTGTCGTATTGCTCGTGGGTAAGTCATCACCACATCGTGTTATTGTACACCAGCAGGTGAAGTTACACATACATAAACTAGCGATTAATTTTTTAACGTGCCTAACATTTATCCAAAACGATCCGTTTCAGGAGCTGCGGTCTGCCAGCAAGGGGGAGATTTCCAATGTCCACAAAAGTCCGGGTTCTATCCGGATCCGGTGCAGTGCGATCTTTACTATCACTGTACCTTAGACGGAGAGCTAGTGGAAAAACTGTGCCCCGACGGCCTACTGTTCGACGATGGCAACCCCAGCCATGAAAGATGCGATACGTCCGTCAACGTAGACTGCGGCCAAAGAACGGCGCAACGTAAGTCACCGGTCTGATTATTTCAATGTATATTATATTGTAAAGGTATTGTGAATTTGTATATTTTTTTTTGTCTGGTAAAGAGGAACCTAAACCGTCGAAGGGTTGTCCTCGAGCCAACGGATTCTTTAAGCACTGGGAAGAGGGTAGCTGTGACAAGTTTGTCCAGTGCGTTGAAGGGGTGGCTAACGAAATGCCATGTCCTCCAGGTCTAGTATACGACGACACGGCAAGCTCTTGTGCATGGCCAGTTGACAGCAAACGACAGTGCGTAACCACCAAAAAAGGTACAAGACATTACCGATTAACAGCATTAATAATAATTTAAAGATTTTAGCATCGCTAAACATTTGTTGTCGTAGTTTTACCTGAATTTCAAGTGTAGAATGTTATATAATAAGTATGTATAGGATAAAGCGGTGACTTAATGCATAAAACAAAACAGTAGACTTAACTTACAAGTTACAACGTATTAAATACTGTAGTTTGATATTATTTGTAAGCAAAAATATGCTTATCAGTATTTTAGTAACAGAATACAATTATTTAAATAAAAATATAAGTTTCAAATTTTCAATCGATTATTTAAATTATTAATACACACTTTCATTGTTACATTATACACGTCAATGCAAATTCCTTTGGTGGTAAATATTTAGTTAGACAGTGTAGTACTTAATTTCATTCACCTGCGTTTACTGATTTATTTGTACTTACCTATTTACTATTTGCAAGAATTAATTGTTATTAAGGGATTAATAATAACAATGATATGAATGTTTCATCATGTTTGTACACTTGGCACCCACTAAAGCGCGATTAGTCATCTTCATTTGTGTGTGATCGTTTTGTTTACAAGTTTATGATATTATATAAAAAAAAGTTTCTGGAAATGATGTACGCATTAAATAGCAAAATACTATTGTGTATTGGTAAATTGTAGGTGCCAAAACGATATGAATCACAAACTAGTTTTGGCTGTAATCAAGTTTTATTAGTAATGGAAATAAATGTAAATTTTATGCTTACGTTACAATTGCGTATGTTAAAGTACCTAAAAATAGGTCCATTGAGATTATTTCGTTTTTGATTTATGGTGGTAGTCACAAAAATATTATAATTTGTACAATTATAAGGGTTGGTATTTTGGCAAAACAAGAATGTGTGGTTCTATTTTCTTAAAATGTATAAATTCAAGTTTGACATTTTTTGGTAATTTATTGATAGAGATTAATAATTGTAAATAAAAATCCAACCTTAAAAGAATATGTAGTGCACTTTCAAGTAATATACTACGGTAGTCAATTCTGAGATATGATTTAGAAAGATAGTAAATGGAAATATTATTACTAAATAGGCAAAAAAAATAGAATGGCTAAGACTGTGGGGGTTACGACTATACTAGTCGTTACCAGAGGCAGATTTGAGGTGGAGTGTTGTTAAGTGACGTCGTCCACACCCTCCTTTCCATCTCCCAATTATCTCGAAAGAAGAAACAATAATAATAAAATATAATTATTCTATCATTATAAAACACATAATTTGAGTTTTTTGAAATCTTGCCGCTTTTTCTGTTGGAACACCTTTAAACCAACATTAAACGTTAAAATTGTATAAGAACAATATTCTTCTTCTGAATACTGAAAAAATTACATGAATCGAGAAATCCTTATCGTTTAGAATAATAAGCCAGTATTCGTCGCACAATGATTTATGAAAATGACTGTCGGAAAAGTGTAGCACACTGCAATTACTGTGTTTGTTTTCCTATCAAATTCAGTACATGAAAGGAACGTTGTACTCCTAAATAAGGTTACTTTCTTGTATAAAAACCATTGTTTAGCAACAACATTTTTTTGTACACGTGCTAGAGAAAAATATGCAGGGGATATTAATACATCATTACGAGTTAATTTGTTATTTTAAGGATACGCTTTTTATAGTCTACCTATACAATATACGTACTTAATTTAAATAAACCGGTCGGCGCTAAAATATTCTTATACTCATTTAAAATAGAAAGTGGTTTTTAAAAACAAAAACTATAATAGAAGCAGGAATTTCAAATGTTTTTACAAATTTTGTTAACATAATTAAAGTTAGGTAAAACTCAGCACTCAAGACAAGTATTTTTATTATACATATTGTTACTAAGAAGTTTGTGTTGACATTTAAGTTTTCGTACATATAATAATAAGGAAGCCAATATAGCTTTCATAATCAGTAAGTGTAGTATTTTTCGAAAGAAGCTACTCTGAAAGTTATTTATTCTTTATTTTTTATTTTTAGTTTATTATTATTACGCATTATCGATTACTATAATGGTCTTATGTTTTAAATTTTATTTTAATATGGATTATAAGATTATCTATGAAAACTACATGTGCTTTTTTTTCGCTCAAATATAATACTCTTAATTTTTTTTCCTCATACATATTCTTATGATCTTAGTTTATTAATTATAATCTCATGTTTTTATAAATTATGAGACTATATTTTGTATTTTGTTGGGTTTTTCAGTCAAATTGTAATTACCTAATAAATTATAGATGTTCTCACCGACGGGTTCTCTTGTCCGGACGGTGATGTGGTCGGACCAAATGGTAGAATCTTACCTCATCCCACGTTTGCTCATCCAGACGATTGTGCGAAATTCTATATTTGCCGCAACGGAGTTACTCCTCAGTATGGTAGCTGTTCCGCTGGTTCCGTGTATAATGAAGAGTCATTTAAGTGCGATGACCCAGAAAACGTGCCGGGATGGTAATTATTTATAAAAATATTATATTAAAAAAAAAATGAATGGTTTAACGGTGAGAAATCCGATCTTTAATATATCATTTAGTAGTGCTAGGGTACTAATCGGACTAAAGCTAATGGTATATAACATATAAACTCTTCTAAAAATGGTAAAACTAAATTTCTTATAATATTTTTAGATTTTAGTTTATACAAAACAACAAAAATTATCATAATTCCCAACAATTTTCAATTTAAAAGAATATAGTGCCAAAAATATTTTAAAAATTAATACAACTTTTACCTTTTGGGTGCTGCATTAAAATATGTTACATAATTACTTTTCATCTGTTTCAGTGAAAACTATTATAATGAAAACGAAGACGACAAGAAAGACAGTAAAAACTAACGTCTTGCATAGTTAAATACCACAAGTACTCATATATTATTGAATTGTATGTTTTTATTAATAGTAGCTGATAATAACGATCACATTATTGAAAACTGTTTATAAAGTTAAGAGAAAATATTAAAAAAAGTAACACTAGATTCACTAAACATTTTTCAGTTACCTAATTTTGAACCTTGACAATTATTTTAATTAGTCATAGTGAAAGTTCATCATATTTTAAACATTTTATACGAAAACTTCATTCTCCTCCATTTTATTTTTAATAAATTTGTATAGCTATATTTTTATATGCCATCAAAATCGCTCATACGGTAAAATTGATTATGAAAGGTAACCTCGTACTAGTTTCTACTGATTATTATAATAAACGTGAGCACACATTGCTAAGAAAATTAAATCATACTAATTAAAGTTACATCACATTTTTCGCATAAGAAAGCATTTAAAATTGTTTTAATGCTATGCGTATTTTTTATACTATAAAGAAACCGTTTGATATCCAACAAAAGTAAATATTTAGTTACTATACAAGACGCCTAAATGCTAAAGGGTACGTAGAAATGGTATCTAACCAAATTATGCCCACATCATAGTAATATGGTGACACTTCTTTTAATTTACAAAATGTGTAGTTTATCATTATTTGTAATTATTACTAAATCAAAATGTTATAAATTTAAAAAAAAGTTGATTGTATTATAATATTATGTCATTTTACAAAGTAAAATAATTTGTATAAGTTAAGTTTTATATAATTAGTTTTTAAATAAATGCACTGTTTATTATGCGTTGTCTAAATATAGTTTGTTTATGAATTATCACAAAGACTAATATTTATTTTATATTCTATTTTGTGTGATTACCGTCCAAATTCCCGAATCTAAAATCGATTACAAAAACAATCAACAATCTACCAATTTACAATCTATTAAAATTGAACATTAGAAATGTATTAAACAAAGTAGTAATGTTAAAAAGTTAGTTTTAATTTTTTAAAATAACCCAACTGCGTACTTTGTTTTTTATATTACATACTTATTATTTTGTCCAAATGACGATTTTTTTTATGTTATAAGTTTTTAAGTAAATGTTAGCTTATGCTTTATAGGATTACATAGGTTAAGTAAGTTCTATAAAGTTATTTTTCGCGGTAAAATAAAATAATACCCGCGGTTTGAGTATTTTGTTGGTTAAATATTGAAAATGTTTAAATGTTTCGCCTGTATTCATATAATAGATAATGTTAAAAGTTAAAAAGAGTGATTTACCAATTCCATCCGTTACTACCCTTACAGACTACATCAAATTCCCGCAAATATAATAATATTTTAATTATCTTGTATTCTATTGTAATTATAAAATATTTTTATTAGCATGGAACATGCTTTAGCCTTGGCCCACCCAGCTCAAAAACGACACAAAATAGCGTCACGAAAGTGTATAAAATGTCTTTTAAGTTGTTAGATCTGGACAATTATTTTATAATAATAATTGTATTCAATGCATGAAATACCTAAATTATTTTATTGTTGTATAAGCTAATTACTTACTTATTCACAGACATATTTTATATAATACATACATTTATATATATTCATATTGTTTTAAGTAAGCCATGAAAGGTATAAATTCATATATTGATATTATTTTTTAATGGGTAACCAAATATTCATCCTAATAAATGAAAATAATAATTTCACAACGAGCATAATTAAATTAATGGTTAAATTTATCCAAAATAACTGACCAAGTGAATGTTGCTATTAAACCGATTAAGGTCAAATATTAAAAATCTACTAAAAAACATTTGGTCATAACATAAAATGAAGACTGATAGTGTAGTCTTAATTTTATATATCGCAAGGAGATTATAGATCGGAAATAATCATTATTGAAGAGCCAACAGACTAAAGTATGTTCCATGTTTTATAATTTTAGCCGTCAGGCTCAAGTAAATTGTTACTATTTTATCAAGCCTAAATCCTAATTGACTCTTAACTAAGTTAAACAAAATTTGTGTACATAATTTTAAAAAGTTAAAAAATTATTAATATGCTCAGCATTGCATGTGTACACATTATAGTTTGCATAACATAGTACAAATACTTATGCATTTTCAAAAAAGGCTTAACTACAAAGTATAATAATGGTTTATATAGAGAGTTAAACATACGTATTATTTAAAATAATGAAAAGTATTTTACAACATTAAGAACCGATAAAATTGTTGTTAATTAATAATAATAATATAGAGAGTTAAACATACGTATTATTTAAAATAATGAAAAGTATTTTACAACATTAAGAACCGATAAAATTGTTGTTAATTAATAAAACATACATTTCCCATTTTAATAAACGATTAAATTATTTAATTAGCTTGTTGTAACTTCAGTCATAGTTAAATCAGTAAACATAGTTTGTATTATATTCTACATGGTGTTTTTGAATTGGATTATAAAATTTTTATAAGATTATTCACATTCTCCATCACGGCTTCTCAAGAACCTTAAAATAAGAAACTAGTTTTCGGGTTTTTTTGCTATTTTTTCTATTTAAAATTTAGGAGATTCCATTGTTACTGCTTAAATAATAAACATAAATAAAAGAGATTACTTGCAAAATGTTCTTACGCAATGTGGGATCATACTATGTTTTACCAAAATAACATTAATATTCCTTATAATGCCTTCCCTAAAATGTAATATTGTTGTAATTCATGATTTTGTGGTATAATAAATAAACTATAAATAAAAGTGAATATTTTGAAATAATACAACATAAATTTATATAGTATTATAAATTATTAATACAAAGAATAGCAAACAAATGTAATCTTTTAATTTTAAAGAACATAGAGCCGTTACACTTAATCAGCAGGTCTTTTAAAATGAAGACGAATATTATCATATTATATTTAGCTTTGTTTACTATTATTATTTTTCTTTAAATAAATAAAAAACTCAAGTTTCTTATAGTATATAATATTACCTTGATTTTATGCTAGGTATTTAATGTTTTATATCAAATTTGACTTAAAATGTACGATATTACCATATTGTTTATTATATCAGAGAAAACCATATTAATTTTATTCATAATAATAATCAAATAATTGTTTAGTTTTGGATTAGTTCCAAAACACTATTATAAAAATAACAGGTTTTCCAAATCGTCCTTGGAATGTTCCATGAAACGTTTTTGGTTAAAATCATTTTAATATATTCCTTAAAACCCTATTAATCGTCACCGTCTATCATTTTGAAATATTTACTGGGCTTAGCCTTGAGGAAAATCGTTTGAATGAAAATTCTTTATTAACGTTGAAACCTAAATAAATAAAAAGCAATCCACTAACAATGGTAACAGCTATTATGAGCAAAGATATATAAAATGTTTAGACAGCGTTTTTCTCAGAAAGAACTATAATTGAATGAACTAGGTGAAACTTCATCACAGTTTCCAGCCAAGGCTTTTTACAATATAATACTACACGAGTTCATTTTGTTTGTACAGACATGGTGTATAAATAAACAATGATATTTAACAGATAACCTTCACATAATCAAATATCCGATCTTTGACCACTTTTTTAAGTTGAAACACTTTTTGGTTCAAAACACACGCTTTGTATAAGAAACAATATCGAAGATTCTAAGTATTATAGTAGATAGTATGTATTATAATAATTCGTATAAAAAATTCCCACCGATGCTGCTGTAACGTCAGTCAAACCCATAATTACTAAATTAGCGAAAAGTGAACTCCAAGGAGAAGGAACAGCCGAATGAAAATACGATTTGAGATAACGGTCAATGAAAACGCAACACCGGGGTTCACACATTAGTCGATTGTATTGCAGAGTGGTTCAAGATCATTTGGCTCGAAACAGACGCAGAATTCGATTGGAGCGCTGTCGGTGAAAGGTACATACTGAACGTACAGGTAAATATTATATTTGTCACGTGTACTTTATTATTATATTTTATTATATTATTATTTTACTCGCAGTACAGTGTACCAGAAGTCGCCGATTGTCTGTCAGGTCGAGTAGGTTTACAGTACCCGACACGTGCACGATGGCCATAATCTGGACAATATTGGCAGTTTTTCTGCTAAAAGCTACAAGTAAGTGCATTTAAATTGATGACGTTTATTTTAATTTCTTTTAAATAGGTATTATAGTATACGTATCAAATCGAAAGAAACATCCGATAATAAACATTTTTTTTTTATATGTATCAATCAAATATATATTAGTTTATTAATAAAACACAATTATAAGGCATACTGCGAGTTATCGATCCGCCATGAACGTTTATCGTTTGGTTATAATATTTTCTAAAATAAGTATTATGATTAGCTATAAGAAGACGACATAATATTTTAAATGATGCGAACAAGGTTGTATGTATATAGTACAGTGCTTTTAATAAGTATATTATACTGATAAAAAATCGTATAAAATGTTAAAAGTCAATTTTCCTGGGATCATTTAACACTATAAATGTATAGGCTAGCTTAGAGAAACGTGAAAGGGTACGAGGCAGAGAGCTACGAATATACACTGTACATGTAGCTCATACTGTATTTACCGTACGTTGCAAGATATATAGATAAATATCACATCAATAGTAGTCGACTAGAATAGTTCTATGGACGTTACATCAGAAATATATTGTGTTCGTTTAGTTATGCAACACTGAAGTGCTGTACAGGTCCAGGACGTGTATATGACAGATTGGAACACAAAACCGTTTTGACTCGAGGCGTTTATAAATTAATGACCGCGTATAAATACGCCGCGCCGGAGGCAATGGAGCACGCCTTGGTATCTGTTAGTAATCGCAAAATAATAATACTAGTGCACGTAGCAAGGCGGTTATTGCTCGGTGAAAGTTGCATTCGTGTGCGGTTTTCAAATGTTCCTCCCCGCACAAACGAGTTTGAATACGACAGAAAAATTAGAGTAAAATACTCGTAAGTCGTAATGACTTAAAAGAGAATTCCACATCCAACAGACATTACAGTCGAATGATAAAAATAAATCTTAAAATCAGGCGTGTGAGACCGACCCCCACACACGTCATGTTGTAGTTGAGAGGGGAAGACCGAGGTGTACCCCGTGTTGTACACATATAGATTTGCAAGTTTTAACCTTTAGGCGTGGACTTATATTTGTAGCTTAATTTTAATGGTACCAATTGGTGGAAATGTTTGACTATCTTTGGCTTAGTTTAAAACTTTTAAGGTGCAAAAATTTTAAACACATCTGAGTTGGGCATCGAAATTTTAAAGTCATGACATACAATTAAACAATAACAATAAAGTCGAATATGTCTGATCAGCAGTAATCCAATGTCAGCAATATAGTGAAGAGCAAGCGTCGCGATGCCCGGAAAAGTACGGCGAACAGACATACCCGCACCCCGAATTGTGTGACCAGTTTTATCTATGCAGTAACGGAACTTTGACTCTTGAACAGTGCGGCAACGGTCTACTATATGACGGCAAGGGAGCCGCTTACCATCACTGTAACTACCATTGGGCTGTTAATTGTGATAAACGCAAAGCCGACCGTAAGTTATTTCTATTAATTACAAATTGATTTAATTGAATCTATAAAGAGGTCATACTTTTTGCGACACAAGTGTGTATTTGTAATGAAAGTTATTGTGAGTAATTCAAATTTATATATACATACATATATTTATATATATATTCACCGATTCCCGCATATACTAAAAAGTGCGTTTCATTATTGCAATTGTTTGATTGATTGAAACTTGGAATTTTTCAAATCATTTAATTGTAATTTTACAGAATTTAATCTAAGTATAATAACTGATAAATGATAAAACAATTTATTAAAAAAGTAACAAGAAGTATCCTTGGATACAAGTTAAAATTCTAAATGTGTAGGGTATACGGAAATAAAAATCACTTTTCTACAGAGTACGCTAGAGTATTAAATTAAAAACACACATAGGTTAAAAAAAAATTGTGTTGCATTCCGAAAACACAAGCAATACTGCTGCAATTGTTTAACTCGACATTTTGTCTTGATTTCTCGTTGGAAAATTCCTTACTCGGGGAGTAAACAACTAAAGTTTATTATTTCAGTTTTCAGTATATAATTGGAATTTGTCCCTTAGTTGTAGCTATCAGCTCTCCTGGATGTGACTATCAATTCGGTTTGTTTTCGGACGGTAGCGCTTGCAGCACCAACTACGTGAAATGCGAACACGGAGAAGCGTATTCTCTCCCTTGTGAACCCGGATTAGCCTATGACGACAGGATCAAAAAATGCAACTGGCCAGATGCGTTGGTCGATGTAGGATGCAACCCAGCAGGTATTTTCTGAATAGCATAGACATAAATAACATTGATTGAAATAAACTATACATCAATAAATTGTTGTGTTTGCTTACAGAAATTATCGGATTCAACTGCCCGGAAAAAGTCGACCCGTACTCGGTATCTGCTAAGTTCGAACCTTATCCGAGATTCGCTCTCCCTGGCGACCCTCACCGACTTATAACATGCGTTAATGGCTATCCCAGGCTGATATCTTGTGGCGAGGATAGCATTGTCGACGAATCGTCATTAACATGTGTGGAACAAGAGTACGCGTAGTATTAATTAATTTTACATAGCTACAAGTAGCCTGAATGACGAGGGTTTTTAAGAAACCCTCGGTGGACTTCCACCAAATGTCATATTGCAAAATAAGTCCAATGTTGTAACTAAATTTTGAAACTCATCCATTCAATAAATTATAAATTTAACTAAATATTATTTAGTTCAATATATTCCACTTAAATTTTCGAATTAGCTTCACTGCACTTACGAGGTAATCAGTTAACTACGCTGCAGCCAATTTCTCTTAAAATTATAGACATTTTAAATTTAATCGGCAACATACATGGTTATTTATTTAATAACAAAAGTTTTCCTAAAAAAAAACTATGACTGGTCGAAAACCAATTTTAACTAATTATTTTACAAATTAATGACATATTAAAGTAATGGCAGAAAGTATTGTATTAGTAAAAATAATTTAAAATGTGTCATTTAAAAATCAAAATTTATAAGCATATTATAATAATTTATTGGGGAATAATTTTGACACATTTGTCTTTAAATTACTCTAACCAGTCAGAAAACTCACAAAAAGAGGAGGGGATGTAAATTCCAAGTGGTGGTGTCAAACACATTTTGAGCTGGCTTCTCAGCTCCTATGTTTTGACTTATAGCACTTATTAACTTTACACTATACTTTGGAAATAAAATACAATTACATATAAAAGTAAAAAAAATATTTAACGATTAATACAATTACCTATTGATAAAATAAAATAATTCATTTTCACTTTTTCCCAGTTAAACGATAATTTAAGATTAAGTTTTAATAATGTTTAAATGGTTTATACTTTTTTCCTATATTAGACAATGAATAACATGATTATATAACATTTGTCTGGTCTCCTCACAAAAACTATACAAATATAATTATATTTAAAAGTATGGATACTATTATGTATTAAAAATAAAATAAAACATTCAATTTATATTTTACAGGTCTCGTTACAGAAACAGAAATTAAATCTTACCCTTAATCCACTTGTGCCATGTTTATAACATATTACATTCGACTCTACGGCGTACAAAATATTGTACAACCTTCGACAGTATGACATACAGCAACTCCCTTACTCATACTCTAACATTTATACATATATGTTTATTTTGGATTATTATACCTGAAAAATACATTTGATAAATTGTTTTTTAATTATTTTTGTTATGTCTAATATAAACTACCTATTTAATATCAGATTAGGTAAGCTAATAGTCGATACAACTTTGATGATGCAATTCTATAATACAAATTTTGAATTATAATGTTTATACACACTGTATCATGTATACTACCTGTATTATCTGTAAAATATAAAATAAGAAAAAATCAAGTTGCAAAGAAAGCAATAAAGTTACGAGTATTGAAAAAAAGCGACTATATATGTAGGTAAATAAAAGAAAATATGTATGTGTTTAATAATGACAACATGTTTCTTTTTGAGAAACACGAGTGCGTTAGAAACGTGGGAGTTTTTCTAGTAAACTAATTATTTATTGAAACCCCAACAATAGAAAAATTCATTTAAAAACAAAGTAAAATGAGCTAATTAATATTCATTTGACAACTACCTACAAAAAATGTCCTCTACAAAATGGTCGAGGTTTTTGCTACACATATATTATTTTTTTTAATTAAAATAAAAATGTACCAAAATTAGTAACATATTTTTTTTTTGAAAAATTATAGTAACAATAATCGATAGACGCAGTTATATTATTTACACCCCAAAACAAAAAAATGTTTTTCACCTATTTAATCGTTTATGCGCCATTTTGAAGTAATTTGCTTTTAGTGAAATTTTATCTTTTCTAATATTATCTTCTTAATATCTTCTTGTAATTAACCAGATAGATAATACTTGTTAAACAGTATAGTTATGTAAAATAATTAATTTACGTTTCATATTCTGTTACTGAACGTAAATTTCTGGATAACAAAAGCCAAACATTTACTTTAATGCTCTTAAAAGTATGCTAAACAATATTTAAGAGACGCACTGATTTTCATTATACATTTTTAAGTATTAAATTAAAAAAGTTGATAGCTTTCGATCAACGGTCAGATTGTTAAAAAAGGTAGCTCATCTTCGCCGTATCGAGTAAATTTATTATGACATTATAATTTATAGTTTTTAAATTTTAGGATATATCTGATTACTTTCTAAGTATACCAGGTAAAGCTTTTATTATACCATTTTAATTATGATAGATATCTGTATTTATTTACTCAAACTAATTGTAGATTTTCGTCAAATTTTTACAAAATGCTTTCTTAATTCTACAATGATTATTCTACCCATAAAACTTACCTTTAAAATGGCATTTATAAACAATACAAATATTGACTTATATTAATAAAAGAAAAAAATAGAATTCTACGTAGTTCATATGTATGCACTGAAATTATACGGAATAGTTATTATTATAGTATCAAGAACTAACAAATACATAATAAGATATTGTTTATTATTAGAAAACTCAGTCCTTTGGCAAGTAATTTCAATTTTGTATCGATAAGTATATAAACATCTAAAAATTACATATTCTTAACTAATTATAATTAATACCTACAAAATGATTCACAGAGCGTATTCAACTAAAATTATTTTTGGCTTTCCTTATTTTTAATACAAATTTGTTTTCTATGTGAATGTTTTAACAATAATTGCGGCATTTGATTTAGAGCGAATCGATTTTTTTTATAGAAAAATCAGTGAGCTTTTGACAACGCCATTAAATAAAAAAATGTTAAATGGTCATTATTTTTACTAAACAAACGGATTTTTTTTTACTTAATAGCGTTAAAATACAAATTAAGATGAGCACTGCTGTAAGCGAATTATTTAAGAACAAATTATAATTTATAACGGTTCCTATTTTACGATCGCGATTTGTTATTATTAAGTATTTATACCATTATAAAACAAAGGAACCGGAATTGTAATTGGTCATTTAAATTGCACTAAACGTAAACGTCGGCGGGATAAAATGGTATATAGATTTTATTGTTGTTGCGCCGAAGAGCTGTCACCGAAACTGCCGTCTTCTCTTCTTTGCGCATCGTGTTGTTGTTGGTCCGGCAACGGAGGTAGTTGGAATTGTTGCGGTCTCTGCTGATTGAATTGCGGTTGAGGTTGAGCTCGGAACTGCTGCTGTTGCTGCGTTTGTTGCGTCTGCTGCGGTTGCTGCAACTGCTGATGTTGCTGCTGCTGCTGTTGTTGCTGTTGTTGTTGTTGTTGATTTCTTTGCTGTTGAGCCTGTCGTTGTTGTTGTTGCGGCTGTGTTGGTCCTCGGTTTTGATGTTGCTGACGTTGGGGAACGTTGACTTTAGACTGCTGTGGTTGCAGAAGTTGATGCGGTTGAGCCGGCACGTTTTCTTCGCCGCCGTCGTCTTCACCGTCGTCATTGTTATTGTTGGCCAAATCTTCCGGAGACGGAGCAGGTGTTGTAGGTACTTCACAGTCCTCGGTTGGGGGCACTACGCACCTCAGGGTTCTCTTGTCGAACACCAACATGGCCGGGCACCGTTGCAACCTGGGGTATCCTCCTTGACACTGCCAGTACCTATTACAAGATTTTCCCAGAGGCACGTTTCCGTTGGCGTCTTCATTGCAAAGAGCTGAAAAAATAATTATAAAACAAATTTAGTATTTTTGAAAACAAAATTTGCTAGAGTACACATCACACTAAACAACCGAGCGGCTTTCGAGTAATCCTTGTATAATGTTTTTACCCACAAACCTTTTCAAGATCACAAGGCTCCCGGTAGAAAAAAAAACGACGCCGTTGTAAAGTCAGAATTAATTTGGTGAAGCGAAAAAGCTTAATAATGGAAAATCCTCCTTAGTACACTAAATGTTTGTTTGAACAAGTTAACGCGGTTAGGGTAGATCCCCAATGCGCAAAAACCACGCTTGCTACTTAGGAACCTACAAAATTGTATTCGTTCGGTAATTTTTATCGTCTCATGTAGTTAGACACACCGCTACATAGTAAACGTTACCCGGTCACGGTCAGATCGTATCCAAATTATTTACACAACGAGGGGAAAATGGTAAACATTTTACCCACGCGCTGCCCTGTGACGCAACGAAATAGTTTAATTTAAGTTTGTATGACTTTATAGTGACGCAACAACTGGTCAAAAAAAAACAATAAATTAAAGAACGAAACGCTTTTGGCTAATAGAAGTTTAATTAAGTCAACATTTTAAATCAATTATGATTTAAACTATGTTACGATCGTTATTACTTATTCCTGTTCGGAGACCAGCTATTTTTTTTACTCGGAAACCCGTCACGAATTCCTGGCTGATCGGCCAGCGTTTAAATAAGCTATCCTAAAGGTATGGTTGTTGACCATTCATCAATAACGATTGACTATTATATGTTTATGAAAGCATGACAACGAATCTTTTAAAATGAATAATATTGTCGGTGGTTTACATAACTCGTCGGGTTAACACATGATTTTAAGTTCAGTCGTTCCATAATTATTATTTATGATACTTGAGCGATTTCACTTTAATCACACATTCACCCAATAAAGAACAATACATTTGACCTATCTACAATAGTAAAATATAGTACAATAGTGGCGATTTTGTTTAAAGAATTTTTATTTTTTTATTTACTATCAAGTTGTCAGGATGATGTGTGGATTTTCCGGTTTAAATCAGCCTGTCCAGCACGCGATCACACCATTCTACTCTAGATATAATATTATGTTTGTTATTAATATTTTATGCACAACAACAAATGTCCAAATTCAATAACGATTTTCGTTACGGTCGGGCGTTTTTAAATACTCAAAGAAAACAATAAACAAAAATACATTTCCCTCGTTACGTGTACGAGACGGTTTTTTTAAGATTTTTTTTTATGTTTTTGTCACTTTTTAAAGGGTTTATGTAATACTTAACCGCATGTCCAGTATGTACAGCGTGTTACGACTGTTATGGCACATTTCACGCATTTTAATCGGGAGCGCGATCGCCGGCATCATTTCAGTGTGAGCAATACAAAATAACAACCTAACTAACGGTCGTATCAGGTTTGTCTGAAAATACCTGTATTATTTACTAACCCTCCTTCCCTAAAAAAACTAAATAAACGATTGTATAGTATACAATTGAAAAACTCACGTATGCTCCTGTACCTAACTTTCATCATAACACATTTATCATTTTGGACTATTGTAAAGGACAAACATTTTTAGAGAGCCAATGAGTATGATATTGGTTTTAACAACAGTTTTATCCGTAAAATATTATTTTTACCTTAGTTGACTCAAAACTGATTAATCATGCTCATTTCACTAATTATATAAAAACATTTCTTTTATATTTTTCTTATAAGTTTAGTTAATTCCGAAAGAGATTACAAAAAAAAAAACTAAAAAGTTAGGTCCATTTTTTCTTTGTGTCAAATTTTCTTTATAAAATCGATAGCACGTTAAAATCTATATCGAGCTTTCAAAGCGCACAAATAGCTAATAAGTCAGTTTATACGACCACAACAATATAATTGACCAATAATAATAATTGTACTAACGATGTTTTTGGCAACCCTCCACGTTCTCGGGCCAGTCGCACGAATGCGTTATCTCATTGTACAACAATCCACCGATGCACAATTGTTCTGTCGCAGTTCCGTTCCAGCAAGTCCAGTATCGGGTGCACGATGTCTCGTGACCGAATATGCCGTACAGCCAGTCGCAGTGCTCGCGAGTTATAGGTCCGTCTGTGAAAAAGTCAAATAACATTAACTGACACCGCGAGGTACAATTGCGGTCACTTTCGCTTGAGACACGGTTTGCTAACGAGCCTTAAGGGCTAACAGCCGGTCAGGTTTAATCAGCTTTGTATTATAAACAAATACATAGCAGAACAAAAGACTCGTCCAATTGAGACACGTAATCGCATATAAAAAAAACTATAGGTGCAAAATTTGAATAGATAAAGTAGAATATGTTTCAAAATAACACTGTCTGTCCACACCATGATTGTAAAGTAGAACTAAAAGCAATATTATAATTTATAATGGTACATAAAATACATATTAATACCATAGTATACATCCGAATTATAGGTTCCTAGAAGGGCCGATAAGGGTAAGATCTTCTATCCTGATTACCCTGTTTTTTTTATCAGACAGATATGTGGAATAGTAATCATATTCAATTCTTTACTCACTGGCTTGAGTTTTGCCGTCACAGTACTTGGCCCTCCACGGGTAGTCACATCCTTCGGTGACACCCCTGTGCTTTCCCGAGTACACCAATCCGTTGGGACAGTCATACAGTTCGGGTTGTCCGTCCACGCATTCCCAATACCGGTCGCAGTAGTTAGCGTCTGCCACAACTTTGTTTTTAGCCTTGCACGGGTCCTCTTGTATATTGGACGATTTCAGTTGCTGCTGGCAAACGCCTGTGAAAAACACAAGAAGATACTTCTTAAGTTAAAATTGTTTTTAAACATTTCAAATTAATAGCAGTACATAATGCGTTTAAAATGTAACTTTTTTGGTGATACTCGAGCGTGTACCTAATATTATAATACATAATAATAGTATTACACTACAATATTAAGTAATCAACAGAACATCCAATTCGACCGGTTTGAGTTTATCGGCGTCCGACTGTACTGGGCCGGTTATTCTGTCGGTATTCAATACTCATTACGCAATGGATAAATAACTTAGTAAAAATGCATTATAATACTAAATAGGCTGTAACGAGCAGTGTTTATTATCATATGTGACATCCTCGCCATTTTAAGAAGATATTAATGTCGCGCGTTGCTTATAAACATTTGATGTAGAGAGATCGCCTTATCAAAGATGTACACCAAAGTAGACATGATACGTAACTTGTTACGTGTAAATAAATAAGGAATTTATCAACAACAAGTGTGGACGTGTATAATAACCTGTCTTTGAATAAATTAAAACTATAAATACAAATACATAGTATACATGAATATTGTCAACTATGTATAAACGGAGGAAAAGTTTTATTTTCGGATAACTGTGAATCATGTAATATTTAAATGCATAATGGTTTAATGATAACAGATCTTTTAAAAATAATATTTCCTTCAAGAGGTATCTAGCATGACTGGTTATTTTCAGTGTTGGGGATTATATTATAGTACAATAGTCGAGATACAAGAAGGCTTAAAAACGCAAAGTAGTTATATATAATATAGCTGATAAAATAAAACATAAATACTGATAATATAAAACAATATGAATGTGTTAAAGCTTTCGTGGATTGATACCTATATCCGAAACTCTTCCAAATAATATAAAACAAGTTCTAATACTGCAAATTAGATAATAGTAATATTATGTAAAACTTTTTATCTTAATCGTAAATAACAAAAATTGTTGCCTAGTACCAAATAGTATAGATCTATTCTTTGTTCGTACGTTCAAATGCACGTCATATCTCTAACAGTGTCTCCTAGAATTGGTAAATATGTATTTTTAAGCCAAGTTCATAAACAATTTGTCGAGACAACCTAAACAAATATGACCCATTCATAAAAAAATATGATTTCCTAAAACGACTTAGTATCTATATTATCGTCTAACTTTTATCTGACACGTAAACTTAATTTGTACTAAGATTGATATAGCCATATTGGAGTTTGAGTTCATACATTTTCGTACTGCTTTGAACCTTGTTTCTTATATTACTTCTACTCAGCATATAGTTAAAGGTCGGTCACCCGGGGTACCAAACAAGTCACTACCTATTTATGTTTTATTTCTTTAGTTATTTGGGCGTACCCTCGACTTTGAAGCGTCACAGAGCTAATTATTACATAACGCTCGTTTGACCTTTATCGGTAGATGTAGTGATAGTGGTGGTTCAACATTTTGTTACGATTGCATAGTAATAACTCGTGAGATCCTGTGCGAGGCGGTGAAAGCGAAGTGTACCAGGTAACGTATGGCTATCGTGATCGGTGTGCGTTTTGTTGTGTGTATTTTCTTCTTTTTAGGAAGAAATTCTATGGGGCCGGGTTACGTCACCCGCGGGAAGGGAAGTAGGGACGGCGGCCACCTTGGTTCGGTTTACTTTTTATCCGTCCCGGCCGATTAGAAAGCGAAAGAAGACTTTGACGACCACGGACGTAGGTAGTGCCGTTGAACTTTCCGATAAACAGACGTTTGGTCGTCGAACGTCTGCGACTGGCATTCGGTCCAGATACAATGGAAGATACCCAAACAAGACAGTGTACAGGCACACACACACATTCGAAGATGACGCGACCGTCGGCCACGTTATGTACTATCCACTCAAGGCGTTAGATAATAATAGAAAGCTGACACAAAGCGAGGGCGGGCGTGGCGTGTTGTCGTTTTGTCGTCAATTTTTTTTTGTTGTGTTGTCCTGAGACCGGGCGCGTGTACTCCGATTTATCATTATAGTTATTGTTGTACGATTATTATCATTATTATTACTACTACTATTATTTACTGTATAGGTAAAAGCGATGGAGACAATTGTTATTAGTCATAGTTGGTACCCATAACATATGTAATCAACAACGGTTGGAAACCAAACAAATTGGAATTAAATTGCCTACGGGACGAGCGTGACGAATGGCTTTAGATTATCCAGCATTCTTATACGCTTTGACATGCCTGTATACGTGTTATGTACGTAAGTGCAGCTCTATTTTGTTATATCGCCGAAGTATCGGGTCTACCCCATAATCACCCTTCGTCCGACTGGGACAAGTACAAATGTTGGTTGAGATGCGAAGAAATCTTTTGAAAGGAAACTTTCACCTTTTCGCTTTGAAAATAAATCGCGTCTTACGTTCTTACGCCTGCTCTGAGATAGTTGAAAAACAATTATCTACTGAGTAATAGGTACACGTGTTGTGTAATAGCTATACGTTTTTATGTATATGAATTGGTACGATTTAAAAACGACATATAACGAAAATAATTTGACATTATTTTCAATAGATTTATATGAAACATCGACTAGTGAATACTTGAGAATAATAGAGAATTACTAGAGAATTTTTAAGCAAAAATGACGATTGACGTCGTTGAAAATTGGTCACCAAACCGGTTGACTCGAAACACCACAACAGATGGGACATTATTGGCCCGTCGACAAAGTTAAACATGTATTATTACAGTATGGACAAGGCCGCGCATAAAGAAAAATATCTATTGACCACTGCCAGGACAGTAGTAAAGGTCAAGGTTTTTCTAGAAGACGCGTGTTTGTAGTTGTCGATTTTCAGTATTCTAATCATACTCAAATATTACAATTCGCACCAAGCTGCTATAATATATTATTAAACCTGTGAATTGATAACCATACTCGGGTCGTGTGGAACAGGGTATTCTTTTAGCGCTTGAGGGTTGCGCAAATCTAACAACAACCGATGAAATATAAAATTAATAATTTATTTCGTTCGCACAATCAGTTGGACCCCCTCCGTAACGGCTTGTAAATAACTAAAACCGGATTGTGTGGTCGCATTCGATTATTATCGCTCCGAGTCCATCGCAATAATGTTGGCGATGCGCTTTAGCATTTCGTAACGTCGACCGACTTCTAATGGTCGCGGGAACCGCCAAGTGGTCGTGTACCCTCGGGTAGACAATAGAGAACATAGGACCTAGCATTAATTGTTACGCCAACGTTATCCTGAGAATGGCATTGTGCCGGTCGCCGCCAACCGCGGCTTCGGGGCCGAAAAGTCTGTGAGAAGATTCGCAGTAGTCAAGTCACGGGGTATTGTGATTGTCCAAAGAGCAACACAAGTATTATAGTTATTATATTATACTCTATTGTCGTCGGTTTTAAGCCTGTGGCACGTGACGCATAATAATTATTACGTTCAACCAAAATATAATCGGGTTAAAGTTCGAACAAATAAATATGTTATGTCATCAATAGACTGTAGTGAATCTTGAGAGTTGAGCGATGAATGTATCCTTTACATAATAAAATACACTTTGCTATCTCTTCTTTAAAAACTTATTAACCCATACTCGAGTATGTAGTACGTAGTAATTGTATAGGTATTGTTTTCCCAAATTAAACATAAAATGTGTACTCATATTCTGAAACCAAACGTTGAATCCGCTAGTGTATGAAAGAAGTCGAAAACAGAAAGAGTAGCTGTTAGCAATATTGTTGTCAGTGGCGGTAAACACTGTGATGAAATCGGGTGATCGCTTGCCTACATTTCGAAAAATATCTACAATTATTTTCAATTACGACAAAGGCGACGATCGACGTATTTAACGTGAGAAAAATAAGCCAAAAGCGTTATAAAGTTTCGTGCAAAAATCCCGGTAAATATATTATTCTTGTAACTAGTTTTTTATTCCGTAGATACTAGATAACTATTTATCATAGTCTTTTAAGACAAATGTTAACTACAATTTAAACCCAAAACTATTCGTCCGAATCGTCATACGTACTCGTGGCAAAATTTAATTGACTCAATTTGGTATGTCACTACAGTAAAATTAAAAAGAAATATTAGAGTAACGACATGGAAACCAAGAGGCAAGAGAAAGCTTAAATCTTCGACAGAATGTTAGACAGTAAATGCATTTTTAATGATTATTAAAAGAAAACACGTCAGATATAGAACAATAATCTAACATTAACTATTACTTTAATTGGAATCGAACGACGAAACTGCTAAGAGTAAAAATTGTTATGTGGCGAAATTTCTGTTGCTATTTAAATAACATTCATAACCCGATGAAAAATCAAGGTAGCAAAAGATTATGTTATATTAACCTTTTTCTATAACAGAGTCATTCAAATAATTGAATTCTCTAGTTCATAAAAATTAAATTTATCATAAAATATACATCCTAACAGGTCACAATATTTTACCATAGTGTTCAATAAATAAAATAAGATTCTATACCTTTCGGATTGCTTTAAACAATTATGCAATAACTCCATGTAAAATAGTATTAGCTAATCAAAGATTTCATTACAAAGACACAAATGTAGAAATATTAGGCATGACATAAGCATTGAAGGCATTAAATAATGTAGTAGAATATAAAAGAAGAATATTAGATATCATAGACACAAGGGCGATTTTGGACAAACGTCAAATATGACAAACTAAGTGTCACTTATAATTTTGTTTTCATCTTATTCAAAATTATGAATAGTCTTATAGTACTCTTCCTTTTTTATTGTTCAACTATTTGGTAATTTATGTACAAATACTTTTATGGGTTGGATACAACGTACAAGGTCGTAAATTGAAAGAATTTAATTTATAGACTAATTTAAAACCATACATTATACAGAGTTTGTTAAGAAATTGTATTAATCATTATATTCCTATATGTTCTGCATTGTAATGTAATATATTATACTATATCAACTACATAAGAGAAAATTAAGAATTAAAGTTGTAACAATTAAATAATAAATTTAATAGATAAAATAGTAACAAAAAATAAATCAATATTATATTTATAGTACCTACGTGCATTAAACGTATTATTAAAACATAATAGCCATACAATTTAAATTTGTTCGCGTATAGATGTAATTTTTTTATCCTTTGAAGGGAATATTCCTAACATTCCCTTGTTTGATTTGAACTATGTATTAGTCATTTTTAACTGATAAATGAATTTTCATGCTAACGAATTATTTATCATTAAACCTATATCTATAAATAAATAAATTATTCAATTAGATTACATAGATAATTATTTGGATTATAAAAAAAGATAAATCTAACACTTTAAAAGTTATGACTTATGTGTATACAAAATGTATCTGATGACTCAATGTAGATAACTTATGTGTATTGCAATTCTGCAGCCTATAAACCTTAGAAGAAAACCAGAAGACTTATTTTTTTCTAAAATAAATTTAATGATATTAAATGCTATTTATCGATCAGAACCCTATAATGTTTTAATAATATAATTATGTATTTTTAAAAACAAAAAAATCCTAGTTACTTACATTGGTGTGCGAGGTAAGTGGTCAAAACCACCCAGAGACATGCGTTGCGCTTCATCGTTGTCGTGGTAATAATAAACAGCAACGCCGGTCAGCGGGTTCGACGACGTCAACAACGTGGAGGCCGTTCTACCGTCGAAGAGAGGAAAAATAAAGTTGAGACAAAAAAAGGGGAGAGAGAATGGCGGATGAAAGTGGGCAAGTGAGACCTTGGTTGGTGGGTTCGCACAACGTTACATCTCACGACCCAGCTCTTGTACGGGATACAATTATTTTTTCAAATCTGAAGCCATATAGTGATTAATGTGTTATTATTTAACAATTAATAATGTTATTAAAATATAATAACGTATTTAATAAAACATGATTAAGTAAAATATTTTTTTTTACTATTTTGATACTTTATGTTTTAAACGTGAGTTAGGTAAGAGGTAATCGTTTTATATCATATAGGTGAAACCCAGAAAACTTTTCCTTCGTTGACTTGTGTAGTATGCCATTTTAACCCCGTTCCGACCATAATATTCTACCATAATAACTAATTTTATGAATATACGTTCAACTTTCCAGGTAATTTTATCAAGCATAAAAAAACTGATTACCTAATATTTCAACTTTGATACGATAATAATACTTATCTTACTTTTCATTCATATTACGTTGTCGATGTACAGATATAAATACATGAAATAGTATTTATTCGTAATCTGCTATTTTACATTTTATTTTGAATGACAAAAAAATAATATTCAAGTTTAGTTAAGAATCTATAAATGTTAAAAGTGTAATAATTTCTTAATATCCTAATTAAAATAAATAATATTTATTATGTTTAACTATTCATACTTTATAATATTGTAATTTGGTTTCTTGGATTATATAACACAAAGTTATTTGAGGAAAATATAATTAACAATTTGATAATAGAAGAAATGTTTAGTCTTCTTCCTTAAAATGTGTCAAGCAGAAAGCAAATTGGTATTCATTTGCCACAATGTAAAAATAGAAAATACCCATTGAAATTATTAATTTTTTAAGAAAAAGTTATACTACTGGTAAAACATGTCATTTTGATGACATATTAGAGGAAAAGAAATCTGTTGAATCGTCTAATATCGTAGAATAATACAATATATAGTGGTAACAAGTTTGCGCACATATAATAATTTACATAAAAATCACAGTGAATATGCATCTCTAAATAAAAGTGCTTGAATAATTATTTACAGTTTGTGACTAATGTCCTAAAATTACTTATAAAATAAACTTAAAGTGGTTTGTCGACGTCGTAATGTTTTAGCAAACGAATGCAAATTTGGCAATTTATATCCTTCCTAGTCTATTAAAAACGTTGTCTTATTTTTCGAGTGTAACTCTGCATTTGACGTTTTTTCCCTTCGCGTTGAGTACGGCCCGAGTGATGTCGTTTCCGTCTGCCAGCGGCTAAGTCAAAACAGGTCTGGCAGTGACGCAATACTACGTGTATTAGGAAGTTTCAAATGAAAGCATATTTTTATTTAACTTTAAGAATGTGTATGTTTAAAAATGCTTGACATTAACCGTATATCTACTAGCAGCTAATTGTTTTACATATTTTGCATAGTATTTCAATAGCATAATACATCTATAGGCGTTCTAGCACTCAAGCGGCTTAAGCTTTGTAATTCCTACCTCGGGTGTTAAAACGATTTCGAACGTTTTGAAATTGTGTAGAAACACAAGTTAATACATACATATTCTACAGCTATAGGCTATAACTATTACTAGCCGTTAGCACAGCCTTATAATTAGAGGCGGGGAAAATACTCATAGTTTGCTATTTAAAATACAGAAATTGTACTTTGAAAATACCTAATCATAGTTGTACCTAACTAATCTGTATTTTTAAAGGTGTCAATTATTTATGCAATCCATATTCATATATTTGTTTTAACAAATAAAAATGATAGAATTCTTAAAATAACATTTAGGTTCACTTTCAAATATCAAATAGCGTTGTAAGTAGATCATTTTCACTTATACATAAAATATCTGTGCTAATTATTAGCAGCTATTACAATAACGGAATTTTGAGTCAAGTTGAAACGTGCATTTTATTTTCATAAGGTAAACAAAACATATCCCGTCCCGATATGTAATTGACTAAGAAATCTTATCGTTAAGCTTTAATTTAGTTAAGCTAAAAAAAAAGCCAGCCCACTAAGATTTCTATAGCATAATAATTATTCTTATGTCATATTTTTAACCTATACTTACATACATTACATACATACATTATTCATAGGTGTTCTATTAGTACAAATTAACATTTTAAGTTTCATAAGAGGCCTCCATAAACAAACTCATAATTAATATATAGGACACAGCCAGTTTTTGTCTTTATTTTTATGTTGGTTTAATAACCGTTATTACACAACCGACAAATATGACATGTATTTACTGCATAATATATATGAATCGCTTCATGCAAAAAGGGCCTTAGTCCTTAACTTTAAACTGTTGGAAAAATTAAAAAAACGTTTGATATGTTATATAAGATTATATGTTATTTTATATTTAAGATGCTTGTTTACAATGGGTTCTAGTAATGGGACTAAAGCCGTTTTAACATGAATCGATGTGTCTAAGTAAAGTGATAACGAATCTGTATTAATCACGTTTTTGATCAAATGCTGACTTAGACCCTTTTGCATGAAGCATTCATATATAATAAGGAATAACTAATAGCTAACATTTAATTAATACATATTATTATATTAAGGTGCGTATATACATTTGCGAGCCGAACTGTTCGAGAACCTTAACGACACCGTCCAAATTTGGTTTGGTTCGCGTTAGAATTGGATTCTTGCGAGCGGTTCGACTCGTTGGTGTTTACCCAGCTTTATAGAACAAACGAATTTATATTTTGTACAGTGGCAACAATAGGCTAGGACAAGTGTACTCCTCAAATTTAGCTTTATCTCAGCATGCCTTCCAAACTTTAGTTGTATATACTCTTAGTACTTATTCTAGGTGTTACTCAAATTTAACCGTCAAAATCGTATCTTCCTTTTTTTATACCGGTTTACTTGGATGTCGCCGTTTTCACTAAAATGACCCACAAACGCTCTCTACTAAAGATTGTATTTCGATTTCGGCCAAAATAAAATAAAATTTGTTAAAAAAATCCTTATTTTTTTAGTGTTCTTAATTTGATTTACGTTTTTTTTTTAAACCTAAAAACCTAATTACACGGTACATCTCACACCGTGCAGCCTACCGTATATAAATACTTAATAATATCAACACGTCAGAGTAATATTACGCGATTATTTATTGTATCTGTATTTATTATTAATTAAAATGCGTTGTTTTTTTATAATTAAAAAAAATATTGATGTGATTACGAGCAGCCATATACAAATTACAAAATACAATTACACGGTTTAGTTGCTACGGAGAAAAGTGCTAAAATTGTTTACTAACAATAATTATGAGCTCGTTAGAATAGAAGAAATCATACGGCAAACCGTAGTTCTGTAGACAGAAAAATTAATAATTCCGCCGGGAAGCGTAAAGCAGTAGAAAATAATAATTTGTGGACTGTGGTCCAAAAAAAAATATTTTTGATATTTTATTGTCTTTAATTGTAATTTTTTTGTACATTTTGATATTTTATTTTATTTCATTCTGTTTTATTGTTTTTAAAATTAATTTCTGTTAACTATGTACGTTATATTGTTTGGTAAACTGTGTCGCAAGGCAACTCACGGGGTGAGCAGTCCGCTTGTTTTTTCAAAATAAAGTTGATTATACATGGAAAACTCGAGTTTAATGGAGATTAGTGTGTAATATATTATTTTCACTTGGTTTATATATAAACCAACAGCAACAGCGCGTATCTCAATTCCAAGTATTTTCAGGAGAAGCAAAATAAGTTATTTAAATGAATAGGTTTTGATATAAGCTGTGTTATCATTTTTATGATTTACAGTGCGACTACAAGTCTGATAAAAAAACACCATTCGGCGGCAAGCGATTTATCAATATTGGTAACAATCTCATTTGGCCAAATTTTGAGTTACGCGCTGTTGCAGTATCAGCGACGTTATGTCTTGTCTTTTAAGTACTTGCGTAAAAAGCCAACATGGAGCACTGACTAACGAAGTAAGACTCTACCAAGTTCATAGATATATATAATAAACTAGATTGCTAACTAGCGATAAGAACTGAAGCCGACGGTCCGCCATTCTGGTGGGATTTATGTGTGTTCCCACCAAGATAGCCGAAAGTGGCTGCTTCAATATTCTCTATTGGTGGCATGTACAGTTCGCAATCTAGTTTATTGTATATAACTGTACCCAAGCTCGACTATGGCATACGCCGTATAGAATTTAGCATTACGATTTTATAAATTTAAATTCAGTGGTTCCTAAAAAACTATTAGATAACACATTTTAATTTATTTTGGCCAGAACGGAAGCTTCAATACACTTATCTACCAAACGAGATACAAATGTAGGAAATACCTGTACTTCCTCTATATGGAATCAGCACTATAACTTATTAAGTTTCATATTAGAAACTTAGTAAACATATTTAATTATTTATTAAAAGCAAAATAACTAAATATCCAAAAGTTAAGCTATAGGTGGCCAAATAAATTGTAAAAAAAGGCCGCCATAGTTTATTGTTTACGGAATGTCGTATTCTTACCATATACCAGTTATATTGTTCACAGTATACCATGTTTTATTCACGAACCGCCCGCCGCGTATGTATCATCAGTATTCTTATCACAAACATATTTATCAGTTATCACGAATAACTTATGTGGATAATAATAATAATATTAGATTAACCATCATAATTTCGTAATTTGCTCGCCCAATTTTTATATATTATAATACTCGTAAGACATTCCTGAATCCGCATAATATATACAACTCTTTAGTCATTCTCTGCGATGGGTTACGAACGATCAGTGAAGCAAATAGATGATGACTTGGATGATATTTGCCTTCAAATGGTTCAGTTAATGAATGACTACTGTCATTCAATTGGACGTTTTGAATACTGTTTGCGCGATGGTTGTGTGCATTTAGCTAAAACTAGGTATGTTATAGGCAACAAAAACGTATCTGATCTTCAACTACCTACAAGTGGCCCTTTTGTTGCTCGTACTTCAGTTATCCGTCAAGATGATGAAACAGTAATGTTGTCAAATAATGATGATGGAAGCGATCCCATTAAAATGTTTGGAGTTCTTGTGCCAAGCAGTTTACGATTAGCTCAAGGGCAGTTTTGCAAATGTCTCGAATCTACTGTAGAAGCAGCGACCATAAAAAGTAATTTAGATAAATTACAGAAAGAGTTTAGAGATCTTAAATACAAAAGGATGAAATCAAAGGATAACTGATAAACAATAATTACAACTAGAATAAGAAAACCATTATATTATAATTATTTTAATAATACTATATTTATAAAATAAAAATAAATTTATGTTATTTAATATAAAAAAAAGGTAAAAGTAATTATATCTTAACAGTAACAATTAAATGTAAAATGAAAGTTCTATAAACATGAAAAATATAAGTGAATTGTGACCTTAAAAATTATTTATTTTTATGATTTCCTATGGCTTCGAACATGAGTACTCGGTTTCACTGGCTCGATAATTTCATTTTTGACATAATACTGCATCCCATAGAGATGGGTTTGTGAAGAAAGGTAACTGAAAAAAAAGATTCTAATAAAATGTATAAATAATAAGTGCTAAATACTAAGCAAGTCATATCACTAAGTATATACAATAAGTTATCAACTAATTATTTTTCAAATTGATTTAAATTTTGTAATTTTTGAAACCAGAGGCAATAAGATTGTGTTTTTGTGCATGTGTGTAGATTGAACACTCGATCCAGGTGTTTTCTTTTGTTTTCAACTAGTAATCATGCGTTTTAGACCAATAAGCGGTGCTAAATTAGACATACTTCCCAATGTTGGATATTAATTTTTAAAATATGTAAGCAATTGTTGACAAATTATCTAGGTTTCTTAAGAAGCCGATTTCCGATTTAAAATTTGGTATGCATAGAATAAATTCAAATGTAATTCAGGAATCATCATTGAATTTTCAAAAATAATAAAAAATAATTTTAAAGGTCTTCAAAAAATAAAATTGAAAATTATAATACTATAAATATATTTTATGCAATTTAAAAAATGTGTTCTAAAGTTCAAATCCCATACAATAGTGAGTAATGACTGTTAAAAATTAAAGTGGTTTAAACAAGTATCATATAAACAACTGTAATCAATTAAAAAAAATCATTCTTAATTTAAAAAGGTTCACGTGTGCTTTAATTAAAATAAAATTAATAAAAAATAATTGTGAAATTGATTAATATTTTTGCATGCAACCCCTAAAAAATGGAGTACTTTTTTGTAGCATAAGGTGACACCTCTTATCTAAGGCTTTATGTATTCAATTTTTAATTATAACTTTAAAATATATTATAATATTATTCGGAAATTAAAAAACAATAAATAACTAGTAATTCAAGCATTATGGAATTTTATATTAATTTTAATTGTTTTAATTAAACACATGCCATTGTTTTGTGAGTTGTTGTCTACAGCTCTGAAGATCAAACTCGAAAAAGTTTTTCAAAACGTGAGAACGAAAAGAATGTCGAATGACATTAATTTTGCAAAAATAAAATGTTAAGAAGTCATAATAACAAATTAGCTTAATTTGAGTAAGTTTTATTTATTTCATGTTAAGTGTAAACGTCACTTTACCGAAATTAGTATTTGTTTTTTGTACAATAACCTCTTTAATAAAACCTCTATGAATATTAGTAGTTTGTATTCATTCTTACTTCAATAATCCGTTAGTGTAAGAATAAACAGTTGAAAGTTTTTCTCCGTCAACTTCTGTATAAGCTAATATTTTTGGTAGATTTTCTAAAATAAAAATAACAACACAAATAAATAAGGGAATAGTATATTAGGAGTTAACTCTTAAGAGGACGTCACACACTCGTTATGTTCTTCAAAAACCCGCCTTGCGCGATTTAATTTTTCAAAGGCTGTTATCAAAACTAAGAAACCAAATTTTCACATAATATAGACAACAACATTGTCAGTGCTCTACCATCGCCCCTTTTTTTAATATATCAACAGTTAATAAATAATTAATTAACTAAGAAAGACTTTTTTTTTAACTTTTTTAAAAATTATGTAGCGTCAGTTGTACTAGGTATATTGAAAAAATACGGATGCTGGAGCACAGATAATTTTGTCATATATAAAATGTATGAATTTCTTTCCTGAGAAAAATTAATCCGCGTAAAAATGTTTTGATGGGAAAAAAATTATAATTTATCCTATAGAAATGACTGTGATAGTCTGACAAAAAAAATGACAATCAACAAAGTATACTCATTACTGTATTAAAAAGTATACATTATAGTTCAAACTCTAAATTAAAATTTTTTGAAAAATTGCCTATACTTTACTCCTTAAAAATGGGCAGTGTGGCGTCCTCTTAATATACTATATGAACAATTGTTTTAAATTTTTTCATTTTCAAGGTTATAACTTATAAATATATTTAATACTAAATTAATATTATTTTTGACAAATACCTAACCTAACTTATGTACCTAAAAGTCGTAGTAGGTGATAAGCTCCATAAACAATAGCTGGCTGCTTTATATCTTCATCATAAGCACTGTCTGGAACAGCTTTCCATGACTCAGCTTTTGACACATATTCATCGCGTACTTTTTCAAACATGTCTTGAACAATTTTAGAGCATTGTGATTTTGTCAAACTGCAATAATCATGCATAAGTAGTTGATTAATCAAATAGTTTATAAGCATTTTACATCTGGCTAGAATGAATTACCTGCAATCTGAACAAGTTTTTTGAGAGCTTGCATACTGACTAGTCGAACTTCGTGTATTTTCTCTTCTAGCTACATTATTAATTTTAGTTATAAGACGTATAATATTATTTAAATATTATACAAAATTTACAGACCTCTTAAATGATTTTTGTTTTCTTGTACATGGTTTTCAATCCCGCCATTTGATGTATGGTCACATTCTGTTCGTTCACCATTACTAAAATAAGGAATTACAATAATTATGTAATTAGTGGCATTTCTTAAAAAAAAATGATTACGTGTAAAAATTGAACATACGTTTCAGAAAGATTATTGTTTTTTACTGGTGCTTGAATATTCATTTTTAATGCTTCATAGTATTGTGCTTGTTCGTCTTCATTGACTAGTAATTGCTTGAATAAAAATGTATTAAAACATATTCGCAGGCCATCCAATACTTCAATGCAAATTTGGTAACTAAATATTTTTTTAAAAACCAATGTAAGTAACACTATTAAATACATTTAGCTTCGATGCACACCTGAGAAGGTATTGTTTTTACAATGATGTACTTTTATTTATTTATTTGATTTTGTGTATTGGGACCCACAATATCTTTTAACCACTAAACCGATATCTTCATGTAGCAAGTCTATATAGTGTATTTCCCGTTTAAATTTTCCAAACCTATAAACCTTAAATTTTTATACCTAATTTTCGAACATATCTATCACAACACTAAATACAGTATCATAAAATGAGGTTACTTTTAACAATGCCTAAGATATTACTTAAATATTAAATGACCTAAGATATTACTTAGTAAATTCTTTGTAAAATTATTAAGGCTCTATTGGAAATAACGGCATTTTACTGTAACTAATATAAAAAACCCACCGTTTTTCTATCTGCTGTTTAGTAAGCACTTCTTGTTGACGATTTTTTTTTTTTGTTTTATTGTCACTAAAATAGTTTCTAGCTAAGTACTTTAAATAATCTTCAAGCAATGTAACTACATTAGGCTGACACGGAAGTTGGATTAACTGAAATTAAATTAGAAACATTAATATAAATATATATACCTACATAATACTATATATCTTATAATCTTATATACAACCATACAAAATAAAGACTAATTGTATTTTTACCATATTTTTTTCATGCGCTAAATGGCAATTATATCCTGTATGATATTTTAAGTTTTCTGGAAACTCAAGATCGGGTAGTTTTCTTTTTGGTAAAAGAATACTGTCACTAGGAACTTGTATCTCATCTTCTTTATTAATTTCGTCCACTAGTGCTGCCTCTTCTTCTGAGTTCCTAACTGGTTCAATAACAGCCTTGGGCTCGACTCTAATTCTTTTCTTACGGTCTTTTTTATATAAATTTCCACCTCTGAAATTAACAGCAAGATTAAATAATGGTGGAAAGTTTTTATCGTGTACATCATAATTTTACGGTGTAAGTTGAGCTTCTTCAGCTAATTCTTTTTGAAGCTTACGATTTTCTTCAGTATCTTTAAGAATGAATTCATCAGTTACATATCTATCCCAAGTAGAGTTCCATCCCTGTAGAAAAAATTGAGTAAAACTAAATAAATAATATACATACTGTTACCTATATTATTAACTATTACCTGAAAATGAATGAGGAACTTGTAAAATCTGCGGCCTTGGTCATCTTTTTCAGGTACAACTTTTAAAACCTAAGAAAAACATAATTGTTTGGAAGCATTTGTAAAATGTACATAGGTACGCCGTATAAAAACATACCTTAGAATCATAGAGGACTTTTGTTTTTGCAGGATCTGGCTCGTAGCACAGTACTTTTTCACCTTCGTCAAATTTACATTTAGTCAATATTTTCTTTGCAGACATTGTTAACAATTGACATCGCCACAGTATAAAAAAGAAATTACTGCTGTAATGTAAACGTTCTTAACGTGTACAAAAATGTAAACGTAACAAATATATGAATCACAAGGTAAATAATATAGTATAACAAAAAAGTACAAGAACGACCTGAACGAGTATAGTAAAACTTAGTTTCATTAAATTATCGTCAATAAACAAAACTCAATTTTTAAAAAATCTGTTATCACAATCACGTTATATCGTTTATCATTTATATAAATCAGTGTAGTCATGTATTGTAACCGGTAACGCTTTTGTCGTGGATAATAGTTGTTCTATGTAGTTTTTAAACCATCCGAATAAGGTATCAATTATTAAAAAATAATTATTAATAATAGTTTGCAGTTCTAAATTTTGTTTAGTTTTAAATTAATAAAAAAAGGTTACAGATTACTTTGATTTTTCGTTGTTTATTGTGTGCAGCATAAATTACAGTGTAACCAACAAACGCAACAAATTAAATCCGTAAGGCGCACTCTAGTAAATGAATATAAAGTATAATATTTACACAATTTGTAGACAAATGAGTAATGGCAGTTGACACTAGATTTGACTCTTACATTACCTATATTTTCTAAAATTGTTGGATCAATTATGAATATTTTTTTTTATGTTTCTATAAGCTAGAATTTATTTCGTTCAGAATGAATAACTTAGGAACTTTTAAGATAGGTAATAATAAAGTATAATAGATACTAACGTATAAACTAACTGTTAAGTCATAGTGATTACTGAATCTTGGACATTTACAAATAAACAAAAATATTTATTAATTAATCATCAATCATCATTTCTCGCCTATGGTTTTATTATCCGCTAAAATAATTGTTGTCAAAGCCAGTTAGGTATTATTAAATTTTTATCGCTTTCGACAAGATTTTGTTGCCATATTAAACTAATTGTGACAAAATCTTGTCGAATTCGATAAACATTCAAGAATCCACCCCCAGAAGTCCGGAGACGTTTGATAGAAGCGACGCACCAGTTTGATGTTGTTTGTTTTTGTTTACATAGTGTACTGTATTGGTACACTATTCAGGCAATCAATAAAATAACAGTAAAAACACACTTAATCATTACTCTAATTACGGGATTAATTAGATCACAAGAAGGTACATCATCACCCCGCACCAATTATTAATAAATCATTAATTAATATTAATGAATTCGATTATTCAAAAAAAAAAAATCTACATCTGAATACGTAAACCTTGCTGAGTAGAGTAAATTTAAATACATAGTAAATAACTCAATGGAATAAACAACGTTATAACCATAGCCTTTTACTCAAAAAGTTAAAAGGTCTATGGTATAAAACTTGTGAATTATAAATTTGATGTGATAATACTGTTATAATTACTAACAACATATTTAAATATATGTATAATAATTAATATAAATATATTTGTATATATTAGTGTTTTTTTATAAACACAGAATGGACTATTTTGTGGTATAAATATGTACATTTCTCTTGTTATCACAAAATTATGTGTAGCACGATTGTATTATTTATTACTAACATAATTATTATAGTTTATAGCTTTAAGTGAAAAATATCCCACTCATTATAAAAAATTCCACTCTACCACTATAAATCACCTGAATCCACAGATATCCAATAATTCTTCTCTTACTCTTCCAAACAATCCTCTTTGTCGATTAAAACGAAATTGGTCACGCGACCTTCTCAATAACTAAAAAAAAAAAGTCAAAACATTTTTTTAAGGAATTCAAAACAATTATAATTATGTAATTAAATCTAGTTGAAGTAGTGTTACTGGACACCCCCTTCTTTCACGTTGTCCTGTCATTGTATTATATATTTTTTTCAAATTTACTTATTGTAACTAATATTACAGATTGTTAATATATTTTTAATAAATAAAAAAAAAGTGAAAAATACCAAAAAGCTAAAAAAAAATCGGTAAAAAAACATACGATTATTTCATTTAATTATTCCCATCACTAGTTTTAACAATGCTTTCAGTTTATACAAGTAAAAAAGTTTTATTCAACTCACCACAAGTAAATTAATCGATTTTGCCCGATGCTTAGTATCTAATTGAATTATGTGTTTTTTACAAAATTGGGTATTACAAAATTTACAACATGCTGAATTATGTATTTATCTATAAAAGAAAATATTTTATACTTTACCCTTGGTTAAGTATTTAGGCCCTTTAGCGGTAAATAATTATTTTATAGTTTTCATTAGTACAATTAAAACACTAATTAATAACTTCAAGACAAAAACATATTTTGGTCAAAACTCAACAACACAATAACATACGTTATAATTATAATACCCATCTATACGAACGACAGTTAAATACTTAACAGAATATAATTAGTATTCATTTTTGTGGTCAAGGGTTTTATAAATATCTAGTTTATTAATTTTATTTTTTTACTACATTCCTAGTGTTGCTAAGATTTTTCTAGATAACTATAACCAGGTCCGTACTAACTACCTCTATAAAATTCAGTGATATCTTCAGAATTTTCTTTTGAATTATTGTTTACTGCGACCTACAAATTGATAACAGTGATCGAAAGGATTATATTTACTGAGACAACAGAAATTTCAGAAGTAGAAAAAGAATTTGTTGGCCCATTTGCATATACGTTTAAATTATTATTATTTGTATGGTATTCGTTAAGTACAAAGTAGGAAACACTTCTTATAATACCTTTTTACGACCAAAAAGCAAATAAGAGCAAGATTAAATATATTTTATATAGAAATATGAGAAATAGGAATTTGTGTCAACCTCCTTGTGATCAAACCTATGACACTCCTTCCCTTTAACTCAGTATAATATGTCTAAATGTCCCAGTTTTTGTATATTTGACCTTACGTTAGGCGCGTGGGGTACAATTGTCAACCATCACTAAATTATTGATTAAATGTAAAAATATTCATCATTTTTTACTTAAACGAGAGGTACTAGAGATAACGACGACGTTAATTGCATTCGATAAGAGTTATCTAATTTTAAAATATATTGAGTGACAGTTGCCAAATACGCGCCTAACGCAGGGTTGAGTAAGATTTTGAATGAAATTAAATCAAATGTTTCGGACAATGTTTTATAGTGGAATTGCAAAATAAGGAACTTGAAGTCCTAAATAATATAAATAAATAAAACATTACTTAAAATACTGAAAAACTAGTTAATATTTTTAATTTAAAAAAACCGAATAGACGACTATATATAAAGTTAATTTATTTTCTAAAAATGGTGGGCTAAATTACACAATATAATGAATAATACATTTAATTAAATCGAACATGGCGCATGTCTCTTAAAACTAAAATAATATTTTTTCTATATAAAAAAAAAAAAAAGGTTTTATTATATTTACAATTATTTACGACAATTAAAAAAAATATAATAATAATAATAATCACATTATAATTTAATTAATATTTAAGTGAGATCACAACAATAACAATATACCTAATATAAATAAAATATTTTAAATTCAAAAAAATTTAAATATAATTTACACGAAAAACAAATATTATTACTGAGATTTATGTATTATTTATAATAAAATTCCACAAAATTAAAAAAAATATATTTTCGATATAATAAAAATATATATGATACATTACAAAAACGTATACAATAATGTCTTACAAACTATTAAATTTCACTACTACTAATCATTATTCTACGTTGTGTACATATCACAGACGCAAAACAGGAGATCTCGTCATTAGCGTATCCGCTGTTGGGCCGTTGTATGCGTGTCGTTAGCACGTGGTCGACTGAGCCTTAGGTTTGAATCTAGACATGTAGAAATCGCAGTCGGAACAATAAATGGACGGGTGGTTGACCAACTTTTTTCGACATAAGTTACAAGGGGAAGGCCTGGCAGGAGAAGCGCACGCTTTGTCTTGTAACCGAGGCGAGGGCGGTTGCTGGTAAACGGCGTACCTGTCGCCGACGACAGCAGCCACCGGTGAACTACCGTTTGGCGTGGTACTCCTGGGTTGTCCCACGACCGCATTGATGGGCCTGCCGGACTGTTGTTGCTGTTGATAAGTAACAGGGGGCGGTGGATGCTGATAGGGCGGCAGTTGTTGTGGAGGGGGTTCATACACGGTCATCGGTCTACGAACGGTATTATTCCGTTGCGCTTGTTGGGAGTTTACTGTTGGACGGCCGCTTCCGGCGTTAGACGGCAAACCGGGGTTGGCGTCTTGTTGCCTGTTGCAATTGGTGTACTGTTGTTGTTGATGCATTTGCTTGCGGTCGAGGGACGACGATGACGATGAGGCGGACGACAGGCTCTGGGTGTCGGGCTGAGATCTTGAAAAATTTGGCTGCGGCGAGTCTTTTTTGGGATGTGCGGGAGGCAAGTGGGTCACGTTATCTGTTCGACCGCCGTAAGGCATCGAATGGAAACCGTTTACCATACTTCGTTGTCTCTGCAACATGCCCGGAGCGTGCAGACCGGAAGGAGATGTTTTGTTGTCCACATTGTTCCGAGGGTATCCGACGGGTCGGCTGTCCGGTTGTTGACTGCTCGACGGCGGGACAGGCGAACATCGAGTTGGGTATCCGTTGCCTCTGGCAGTGTCATAGGGCGCCGGCGAAGACTGCTGCCCCTGTCCGTTGGGCAGGCCTTGTTGGATGTATCCCCCTGGCTTGCTGGCGTCATAATGCTGAGCCATTCTTTCTAGTTGTTGGGCTTGATTAGCCGTTAAGCCTTGTTGAAGATAGCCACCCGGTTTGGTGTTGTTATTTTCGCCAGTATATTGAGATGTAGTTAACCGTTCAAACTGCTGGTTGTTCGGCAACGATCCTTGGTGTAAGTACCTCGTTTTTTCGGCGCTCGCCATGTTTGGAGAAGCGTTCTGTCTATCGCTCTGTGGCTGCTGCTGTTGCTGTTGTACTTGATTGCCAGTTATTCCTTGACTGTGGGATAGCCGTTGGTCGTTGGTTATATTTGGGTGTTGAATATTCGTCTGTTGCGTTTGAACGGGACTGGGTTGACGCCCATAACACGACCGGCTGTCCAACGAATGACTTGAACTGTTATTACCCAATCTCTCGTGGGTTTGAGACTGCAAGTTTTGACCGGGTAGTCCTTGGTTGTAAGACCTGTTATCGTTGATTTGATATTGACTGTTGGGTTCTGTATTTGACGTGTTGGGTCTAATCGAGTTTTGCGGATAGTGCGTTCTAGGAGATCCCAGGTTTCCTTGATATTGGTTAACTTGAGAAGTCGACTCTAATAAAGTCGACCCTTGATTGCCTTGTAGTCTTAGTTGCGATTGACTATCGCCGTTGAAACGAAAATGACCGCTCCTGCCCTCGACCGGTGAATGTTGAGGATAGCAATTCGTCGGTAAACCATTCATTTGCCTGGCTGCTGGGTTTCTTTCTAAAGACGATTGGTTCGATCTAGGATTTGGAGAGCAGTTGAGTTTATTTTCGTTCATTGGTTGATAATTCAAAGACTGCGGCTCTATATTATTCGAAAATGGCTGTTTTTGCTGTACCATCGGTGAAAGGCTTTGATATTGCTGAGGATAATGATTGGGTTGCTGAGAATTCGGATAAAATCTTTGTGTTATCGAAGAAGGTACTGACTGAATGTTGTCAACGGAATTAATCGACAAATTTGACATGGTGTTAACTAATTGCGGGCTAGAAGATTTAAATTTTGATTGTGTAATTGGTGACTGAGCTAACGATGTGATTTGTTGAACAGGTGACATGCGATAGTTTTTAGCGACGGTTTCGACCGGCTTTTGGCTTTGTTCGGGCAAAGGCGCCTTTAGTTTGGGCTGTACCATGGGTGAATGCGGCTGTGGAATTTGCTGTACTGGAGACATGCGATACGATTTTGGCGGCAAATCTTCCCTAACTTCTGCATTATGCTTCTCTTCAGCGTTTTTTTCGAAAGGTTTTAAGGACAATTTACTACGATTGAATTGACCCGAATCGTTTCGCTTCAACGGAATAACAGATTTGGTTACTTCCCGGTTTGGCTCAACAGGCGCGTCTTTATGAAGAACCGATCTCAGCACTCTTTCTAAAATAGGATTGGGTATGTAACTGTCTACCTCGTCTTCTTCGGCTGTAGCAACTAAAACAACTTGTTCGCAAAAAGTAACATTCTTCTTTTTCCCCGATTTTCTTTTAAATTCGTTACTGTCAAACGGACATTTGCTTAAAGCTCCTTTAAGTTCTTTTTCGCATTTTTTTTCTTCGTCCGGAACGACTTCACAAACACTATCGGCTGGTAAATTGTTGATAGCGTGGGTGATTAAGTTATCGATCACTCCTCTTTGTTCGAATCTGCTCTTTAAATTCTGTACAGACGATTTACAATCCAAATCTGGATTTAGCTGTTCGTCACGATTCCACGTCGTTTGCTTGGAATGCAATTCTGGGACCCAACTTTCTTCGTTATTGATTTCCGACTTAACTTCCTCCAAGGACATGCTAGGACAAAATCCGTCTACTTCATCGACTGCCGGAGGTGGTGGTAATGGTGGAGGCGGGAATTCTTCGCTAGGTTGTCTCGAATGATTGACGGAATTTAATGGACTCGGATAAGGCGGTAATGGGAACCCAAGGTCATCGACATTGTTTACAACAATATTGTGTTCAGAGTTATGGTGTACTTGAGCTTGCGTTACCATAACATTCTTATTATCTCTATCAAGTAGTATCCCTCCGTTAGCATAGGTAACCTCTTCTTTGCGTGGGTGAATATATGGCAGAGACTGAGGTTCAGAACACCATTCGTTTTGTTGCTTGTTTGATTCTGCTTTACTCAACTGAGAAGAAGTTCGCATTGGCGGAGGAGGTGGTACTTTAGCGAAATGTAAAAATTTATTTGTGTAGAAGCTCTTTCTCATTAGTTTGCTCCTTAATAAATTGGGATTTCCTGCACTTTCTAAATGCCCTTCCGACAAATAACCACTAAGATTATTATGACTGGTAACAGAATCTACCATAGAATCGTCTTTAGAGATAATTTTTTCCTTAACCACGGGCGTATCTTTTAACTGTAATTCGTCTTCGCGCAAATCTGGCATACTTCTATTTTTTCTTCGAATCAAACCTCCCATTAAAAGTTTTCTGCGAATTTTATGTTGTTTTTTTCCTTGTTTATTCTCTTCAGTTTTTGGTTTTTTGGTTTCCTTCGTTAATGAACTCGATACGAATTCTTTAGTATTCTTAGTCCCACGTTCTTCACTCCTTGCCCTCTTTTCACCTTCCTTTTTATGTGCTTTGCTTTTAGCTTGTAAACTTCTACCAGGTCGTTCGTACATTAAATATTCTTCATCTTCAACAACTTGCTTCGTCTTGTTCGAAGACCGCGACAACAATCCTTTTTTATTTTTTGGCAATGTCGCATAAATCTCAATATTTTTAACAGATTTGTCTACAGGCGAAGTTTGTAAAGATGGTAACTGCTGTGGTATTGAAAGCAATTCTTTACTGTTCTGTCTGCTATGTTGTACCGTTTTATCCTTAGAATTTTGTCGGCTATGTGATCCTTGAGAACCCCTATTACTACAATTACTGCCTTCCCGACTATGTCGTCCTTCGCCATCTATACAAATATTGTTAAAATATTAAAACATTTTCTAATTACAAAATGTAATTTAATAGAAATAGTTGTAGATTCTCCTTACGTTTATTTGTAGAGTGAAGTGGTTCTTCAAGTCGTTTGTGTAAACTACGGGCTCGCATTACACACGTATTATGCTTCATTCTTGCAAAACTAGCCACTTGAGGATTACTATATGGTGCATCCATAGCTGCTCGAGCTTTTCCGGCAGCAGCGTTACATAAGGACAATGCCATAACTAAATCATCAGCCGCTTCAGATTTCCCAAGTAACTGATCGGCTTCGGCACAAAGTCTTTCAACTTCATCTACTGCTTACAATATAAACATAGTTATTATCTCCGGCACTTAAAATGTATTTACAAAGTTGTTATCAAAACAACTTGTTAAAGTTGTCAAATTTCAATGAACTTACTAGAATGTTTTGATCCATTTTTAAGAGTCGTGTGAGTAGTTTGATGTCCTTCTGGTATTTGAGCAAGCTGTGATATAAAATAATCATTTAGAACAACACACACACACACACATAAAATATAGTTCAATTACCTGAAGGTTGTGCTTAAGATTTTGTTGTAAAGGCAAACTATCATTCGAAGATAAAGAATAAGAATCGTAACCCAAATCAAATTGGTTATTTGTCGTATAATCTTTTGGCTTATTAGGACTGCGAGGAGCTCCACCATATGTACTTCCAGTTCTGTAAAATCAAATTGTATATAAATAAAAGATTAATTTTGATGAACTATCAATACCTACCTATTTTGAATTTTCCCAACGAAATATTGGTATGGATTTTCTAATGAGGTAGAAGACGAAGAAGATGCGCTGTTTCTGTCACCACTCCAATTTCCAGAATCTCTTCTGACCAATTCACACTTGGATGCAACTGATCTCGGTGAACCTGGTTGATCACTCAAATCATCCGCATTATATATTTCAGAAGCTTTAGCCATAATTACAGCTTGATAATGAGCTAAGTTTTGATATTCGTTTCCTGACGAATTCAACCCCTAGGTAAAACAAAAAGATTAATTTTTGAAAATCGATTTGAAGTTAATTTAATTTACTGCTTTAGTTATGGCGATTGATGGATCAGGATTTGGAGTTAAAGCTCTTCGATGGCTTTGGTTTGCAAGTGTTTTTTCTGGGCTAGGCGTAAGAGATCTACGACCTTGTGTTAACCCTTGAGCTGCATTCGTGCAAAAAGATAATTTTGTTGCTTTAGTAATGGTTTTGGGAGCAGTTGTCGCATCAATTGGTACACCTTCCGGGGAAGCGAATAGTAGTAGAAGAGGCTGATATCTTCCTCGTTTACATTTTTCAACCACCTAAACACAGATAATTATTATTATTCTATAATCGTACTTATTATTTACGTATTATTATTTCTTACCTGTTCCCATCTAGGCCCGATTTCTCGTACGTTAGCATCATCAAAGTATATCCAAAGCTTCAGTTTTGTATGATAAAAGAACGTGGAATAATGTTTCCCGTAATATGTTACTACTCCGACAAGTTGATGTTGCAATGGTAAACCTCCATCAGGCAAATCAAAAGAACCATGGAATACATCACATAAGCGCAACGACGTACGCAAAGTACTCAATAGAGCCATAATGTGATCTAGAGTTGGTCTGTCTGAGTCCCAAACTATACCCACAGATACTATTTCGGGTCTGTTCATAAGTGTTCTTCGAATTTGAATTTTAGCTCCACATGCACTCTGCAATTATAATATAACAATTTTCATTAAAATGATCGAGAAATTTAATTGGTATGCATAAAGGAAACATAAGTGGACATTTTCACTTACTGGACAGTCTCTTATATCACCCATTCCGCCAGCTTTCTTCAAAAGTTGCCCAAACAAGTCAGCTTGGCCTGTTGATGGAAATTGTTTTACTTGAGCAGTTAATGCGGACGCAGACACATAATGCACCATCTAATTAAACCAAATAATAATTAGAAACGAGTTAATGTTTAGTTCGAGTAATTGCACTAACCTGAGTGAATGGTAAAGGCTCAGACGTAGCTCCACAAGCACCGCAAACACTTTGTTCGACTAGTGTCATGGCAAACTTTTGATGTGATATACAGTGTCCCGCGTTACACATATCTTCAGCTTCTTCGTTGGCAATATGGTAGTGTATACGCAGTAAAATATTTTCCTGGTGGACACAGTCAAACCAGAACTTTAGTCTTTGAACATTTATATGCACTTGTACAAAACAAAACTTACAAAACATTCCGCCGCATCGTCCATAAAGCCCAATTGAAATCTTCTTTGGTCGTAAAACGACTGAGCAAGAGCTTTTCTCAAGGCATCTGGAGGGAGCGCAGTTTCAGAACTGGAACCTAACGCCGTAAATAGTTCCTAAAATAAACCAATCATTATGAATTAGTTGTAAGTTCTCGTATTTACAGTTAACAAAATTAGTAAAATAAATAATAAAAAATTCGTTTTAGGAAACATGTAATATCGTGGTACAGTTGGATCAATGTCGTGAGCTTGTATAGTTACGAATTACGATAGTTTCTGTCTAATAAGTATAACATATTCAGTCATACAACAAAATGAGTCACTGGTCTACACACAAGACTGTGAGAATATTTGAAACAATAAAATATCCGGTCGTTATCTCAGGTTTCCAACAGTTTTCCCATAATAAAATGTATGCATTTAATTATAGTTTTTTCGCTGATCGCGTAGGTTACTATGAAATATTGTATACAAACTATAGTTTAAACAAAGACTTGTGGTGTTTTACTTATGTTCATTAAAATCTGTTTTTTTATATATTTTATTGATAAATTTAGCTCAACGTTAAGTTATTATAAGCGACTGATTAATAACAAAACACCACACGGTAATATAGTTATTGAGAAATGAGTTTGTCACGAAATGTTTAAACAACTATTAGCTTTCTTCAGCCCACTACGCAATCGTAACCTGCACGACAAATTACTAAACGAGGTATAGCTTTATTAGAAAAAAATGTATTAGACCTTGGGCTGGTAGTCTGTAGTATATTTAAAAACACATTAGCAGGTTATCAATAAAAAAACCGAATAAAACAATAGAACGTAGGCAAAAAAATAAATTGTCAGCTGCTACGGCTTACATAGCCAAAAGTAAACCGACCAATGGACGAGAGTTACGATTTCTCGCTCAATACAATGAAAGAAATGAAAGATGCAGTTTCAGTATTTTACATTAATATGTGAGAATTCATCGAGTTCATTTCCATGAGTCACTGGAATCAAATACAAGTACTTTTTTTTTTATCCAACTAATTTGAAAGGTATTTCCGTAGAGTGCTACAATCTAGTTCAACGTTTTCAAATAAAAAGTATAAAATCTAAGTTTTTTACATAAGTCATGTAAATATAATTATTATTAAAACCATCAGGCGTACAATTTTTCTAAATACAAACGTGCGCACAAGTTTTAGTAGACAAGAAAGAATAATTATGACACTTACAATTTTCGTTCAAATAACCATTATTACTAAGTTGTACGGTTAGATTTATGGGACATAATGAAACGTCTTAGAAACTCATAATATACAACTATGTAATCATATAAATAACGCGTGCGATATTATAAACGATTGATGCTATCGGGCAGAGATGTTAACGTCTTTCGCTTAACCTTTGGTAAATTACAAAAAAATTACCAGTACGACATTGTCGACCGGTTTCACGGATGGAGATTTCTCCCGGCAGATACGGTTTGACAAACCGAAATCGAGTAATAACATAAAAAAAACCACAAACGTGGGTACATTTAGAGGGAAAAACAGCAAATATCTAATCACTTTTGGGAGGACGCTAAATAAAAGTACTTATATCATGTATGCGAAGACCTTCGGACGGCAGATCATTTTTCAACGCATGCATTTCGAATCACAAGACACACATAATGTTTGTAAGTAAAGTGAAATCTCTGTTCTCGCTATAATATTACGTTGGACGGTCATTTATCATCTCCGATGGATGATAATAATAATAATAGGATGTCGATCTTTGCTTTGGACGTCAAATACTTGATTACAAACCATTGTGAGTCGCCGCACGTACTCTAATTAAATACAACGGTATTTCGATAGGCTGTCAATATTATATTATTATATACAGATAGCCTCGTCGGTGCCCGCAGGGGGTTATAGGGCGTTCTGTTGTTAACCGGTTCCCCCGAAAAAAAACACACTCAATGCGCCACGTCGAAGACCACGTTCCCGCTTCGACCCCACCACCGACATCAACAACGATCAGTGTACGGACACATAAAATCCTAAGGCCTATCGGCTATCGGTGGAAAACAACGATGTAATACTATAAGATACGCTGTGTTTTGGCTCCAAAATCACGGTTTATGCGTCACGGAATTGTCACGTGTGAAGATAGAAATTAATATTTTGACATTTACTTGCTCCTTAACGTTGTACGTCGTATACGCGAAGAACCCGTCTGGAATAACCGTACTGACGACACGTTTATCGCTTTACACATATAGAAAAACACCAGCAACCGGTTTGTCGCTATTCCACTAAACTATATTATTATGCTTGCGATAAACACGCGTGAAACATCGGTAAGACGTACAAGCAAACGGCGGTGATCGCTGAATGGTTCGATATAGAAGGACCATATACAAAATCCGATCTCACATATACATAAATCGTAAGGATTTATATTTTACTACAGTACTTAATAAACAAAAAAATAAGTTTACTACTGCGTGACTCGTGAGTACAGACATATATCTTATGTATGTAGTACCTATATTATGTGGTGTGTATACTGTAACTGTTTTTTGCCTAAATGTTATTTGCTAAGTAGAGGAGAAAAAATAAAATTACGACATTTATACAGTGGAAAAACAAAGGACATTGACGACCAAAGATAGTATGGAAGGAGAGCGACAAAAAAATTCGCCGTTGTTCATTTGATATTTTCCTAAACTGAAATGTATCTCTCACCTTCAACGCGCAGAAGATGCACGATTCTTCCATACAGGCGTGGCCGTACAGCTCTCTGAAGCTCCGCCTGAATATGTCCAAGTGCCATAGTACCTGTAATACATAAAAAAGACATTGATTAATTACTATTCGAAATGCAATCGTTTATCAGAAAATAGTTTAGGTTCTAAACGCATCGACAAGAGACACGTTTAAGTCCCGATTGACCCACGCCACTTCGAAATGACTTTTTCAAAAATATTATACAACCATAATGAACTGCGCAATCTAACTCTCGATGGTTTATCATCCGTTTTGGTGACCATCAATCACTCGGTTAAATGACAAGGGAGAAAATACCTCCGGATGACTGTTATGGCTGTCATTATTTCACGGACACCTGTGTGCGTTGTTCACGGTTAGTCCGTAAAACGAATCCGGGAGGGTTGAACGGTTCGACAACAGGTCCTACCCAACACACGCCACATGACTCATCCGCCGAGATACAACCGACCCATTGTTTCCTTCTATGCACTTGTTGTAACGAGCGGCTCGTACCCTTCGAATGAGCTGAATTTATTTAACCTCGTATAAATAGACACCTTACTACCATGTTTTTTAAATTTTTTATTAGCCAACTCGATTGGGTTATGACGTTGAGACGTCTTATTACTCATTCCGGGGGTTTATTTTACTTTCATGACAATATTATAACGATACATAAGGCACATGATGATCTCGGTACACATTCATTCGGATCCCAATATTCGTAGGACACGCGAAATATTGAGCCCACTCGTCGTGACCGTTGGTATCATGACTTTCTTCCTGTTTACAAACAAAGAACACAACACTATACGGATCGCTTCATATGACGCTCATTGGTTCGGGGACACTTGCATCAGTCACGGATAACGCGACGTCACAGCGTCGTTCGTAGATAGTCTCTAATACATATACACACACAATAGGCGATATAAGAAATTGGTTTTTTTTTATTATTGCCGCGAACACGTGAAGACTCGTTCCGTTTTAATGTGCGAAATCTAATTACCCAGCGGCAATATGGCAATAGCCAATCATCGACAACACTTATGTTTAAGCACGTAAACTTCGGTACAGATCTTCAACCGCACTGGAACACGATTTCGCGGCACCTGGATTGGTCGCTGTACTATAATCTTGTGATTTCTATAGGCACGATACGACCAACGCACATCACGTTATGGATTTCATAACGATAAGCGACCTACTCGAGTACTATTGTAGAGTATAATGCACGAGTGTAATGCTTAAATAACATACAAAAAGGATTCGCGAAAAATAATAGCGACTAGGTGGACTTATCGTAAAACTCATATAGTACAACATCTAAACATTCCGTGTTGCAACTCGTTAATGTAAAAAGACCATAATGTGTAATCATATAACGTAGTTGCACGTATATTATCATCACTGAAATACAACTTTTCAAATGACTAACGCCGAACGAGAAGTGCAAACATTAACAGTTGTTTTATATTGCACGGTTTAAAATTGGCATATCTATATATATTATATATACATAACACATTGTCATAAAAACAAAAAATTACCTAGACAAAAAATACGCATTAATGAAGTATAAAATGACGTTTGCTTAAATAAAATATACGAATAAAACGATTAGCTAAATATTTCCAACGAAAAGTGATAAACAAAAGCGATAAAACGACCTTATTAGTTATTATTACGGGTTATGATGACGGATGATTAATTAAGTTGATAATAGATGTTATATCATACTCATACAACTCATAAAAAAGCCTAGATCGAATAGTAGAAAGTTGTTGGGTTTTATTTTATGTACTCTCGCGGATGCTGTAAATTCGATCGATGCAAGAAATCAAATCCGTTGATCAAAATGGCGGGCGTCCGGCGAGTGTAGTGACCGGCAACCAGATAGTGCGAGGAGGTACGGTGGAGGGTGTATACACGCTCCTCTTACCTTAGTGATTTGAAAAAGTGCTCGTCTCCTGTACTTGGACTGCACCCGGCGATGTTCCCCTTTATCCATGTTTGTACGATACAAGTCTACGGCCTTTTCTCTAGGAAATTCTGCACACTTACACGTTGTTTAAATGCGCGGAAAAGTGGAAAAACAACGGCATTTCGCGAATAAAGCGACGACAAACAAAACGGATAACCGGCCTAGTACCGCCATTACGATAGACTGGTTGCGCGCCGGGTAAAAGGTAATACAGGTGCAGAGACCTCAGCGCTCCTTCGGCGTCGACTGGTGGGGGAAGCGGTCGTCCAGTGTGACTTGTATACCTATAACGTAGGACCACCTGAAAGACGAACCGCCGTAGAAGGAGTGTAATGGTATAAGGATAGGACTTCTTAGAGTGCACTGCAGCGTATACACAGACGGCGGCGGTACTCCGGAGACACGTATTTTATAAAACGTATTTTTTTCTTTATCGAAAAAAATAATAATTTCCAAAAATCATTGAAACATAAACAAATATTATAATTCTTGAATTTTCATCATTTTTTTCTTGTACAGAAACACCCGTCATACATGAACTGGTGAAGGCATAATATTGTTGGATATATTATAATAAAAAATTGAATAAAAAACCCCCAACAATATATTATAATATATATATACATATGTATAATAGTAGCGATGTGGTGATAAATAAAATAAGGAAAACAATATAATAATGTTCTAGTATAAAATATGTACGAGTATACAATCGAATAACATAATAATAAATCGTGTAAAACGTATAAAACGAATATGGAAACAAAAAAAATAATAGTCATAAGCTGTTTGTAACGCATAAAACAGTTTTCATTTACATGGCAATGAGTTAGGTTCATTGTTGTTCGTGTACAAATCTTTAAATCACAGTCGTGATAAAGTCTTTAAAATTGTTTCTGTCGCAAATGTGAAAAGTCCATTATTTTTACTGCAAGCACAACTGTAATCACGACGGGAAATAAACATCATTTTATTTTTATTGTAAAGATTAAGTCGTTTCTATAATAATTACTACACTTGACGATGATGCGTAATCAGACAGCATTGCTCTATTAAAGAACGTCTTACAATTAAAAAAGATTACTTTATAATTATTATTTATTATCGTATTAACTATAAGGTATCGAGAATGCCGTATGTTTAAAGTTACAGTTGGATCTGTATAGTCGAGTATATAAATTGGATGGATGCAGAATGATATCTAAACAATATCAGTAAAAAATGATGTAGTTTATAGTTAATAATAGTTGTAATTGAATTTATTCTACGATAAGAGGAATCTTTATAGTAACCAATCGTGAATATTAGACGATGACTTGCGAAGGGTAAAAGCGAAACCCGAAAAGTCGTATAAATAACGGTAATGACATTATGGTTGTCGGTCAAATGAGGTAAGCAAATAGTAAATAAAAAAACCAAAACAAAACGACGGGCGAGGATCACTGTCCTGTCCTTGGATTTCGCGTCGCTGTGCGGAGGCGATCGAGTACGTTGGCAACCCTGTACGGCCGGTGCCGCAGAAACCGGTTTCCAGGACCCGCAGGGGATTTACTACGACTTTTACTACACCGTGTTGTTAAGAGATTGTGTATCTGAGTACGCGCGCAGGTAATAAACGTAACGTAAGATAATATTATATAGAAAATAAAAAACCCGCCATAAAAATACACTGCGCCGTACAGAAAACGTACATACAAAGAAACCATTGTTCTTCGTGCAATTCATTTGCATCTCTGCCTTAGTCACCCTCGCAGCAACACAGTCGTATAGACGATGTACCCAAAGCAATAACATAATGTATTGTAACCAATAATAATAATAATAATAATAACAATATGTATGGGTTTTTTACGGCACACAATAAACAATATAGTTACAATATAATTGTATATTGAAAATTTAATAATTACAATATAATAAATTAAATAGTTTAGATTTTTTCAAAGGAAATAGTCCGTTTTTTCTCAAAAAAACCTATATCGTATTATAGTACTTATTTTACTTATTATTTTCATATACAAAGTGATCATTTTATCGTGAACCGCTCAATATCTCATTGGGTTAATAACGGAATTTTTTTTCCATAGTGTTATTATGTAATGTGATCTCAGTTTTCCACAAATTTGTATGTTCCTACCCTCCTCCTAAACTAATTATTTTTATATCAACTTTTGAAACTTATGTGGTAACGCATACATTTCGGTAACTTTTTAAATTGTGATAACTTAGGTACTAACAATTTTGACCGGTCGATAATCAGTTTTGGATAACTATTTTTGAATTGATTGAAGTTTCGAATTTAGGGCAGGAGGAATGGTGGAGGGTAATATTGTTATTATCTGTGCGCACTTTCCAACCACATATTCCCTCCCGTCCTAATTTTTAAACTGTTAATACTTTAAAAATAGTTGTTCAAAACTGCAAACTAGTTATCAACCAGTCAACATTTTTAGTAAAATATTCTTAATTTAAAATGTTAATAAAAAATATACGTTACCTTTTAAGTTTCAAAAGTTGATAAATAATTAAGTAGTTTTAGAGGGGGTTAAAACAAAACAAAATTGTGAAAAAATTTAGCTGACATATTGTACAAAAAAAATAAAAATGATATTTCTTATTAAAACGTATGAGATATTGAGTGGTTCACGATAAAATGATCACTCTGTATTACGTTTGTTTAATTTTTATAAATTCTTAGTTTTTAAGTTTTTTATGTTTTACATCGTTCGCTGTACTCGAACCCTATGAGGCGTATATGTAATCAATAAATATCTGAGATTCAAATAAATAATTGAATCTAAAAAAGTAAATTTTTTTAGACCCTAGCTTTTTTTCTATATTTGTATATAAAGATTTTAATCGTGCTTCATTAAGACGCATACTTCAGAAGATTAAAATTAATGGGTTAATTTATTTCAACAAATTATACTTTATCAATACGATTTTGTAGTTATATAATCTATTTTAATAAAAGACTTCGGTACACTAATAATTTACCAATATGAACGGAATAGTGTACTATTACATCCTCCTAAGTTTTATTTATCATTTAAAAACAATACCAGAAATATTAAAATAAAAGCCA